AGGTGAATTAGTGTGTACGTGCGAATGCAAAGGCGAATTTACAGTCAAATAGCATAAGGGTACAACAAAGCAAGTCCAATACTAATAATAAGATTCGAGTACAAATATCCTTAGCAAAGAGAATGATTTAAGAGATTAACATTTAAACTAATATTTGAACGAAGAATATTCTTTTCGATAAATTCTCTTCAGGTTCTACAATTATATATCCAAATTATTAATCCGAAAAATGGCCAAGTTAAGGGTAAAGTACATCATTTAGAGCATGTGAATTTAGGATTGTGATAAACAAAATACAATAAAATTGTTAATGTTAATATGACTCATATAAAATGTTAACTTGAATCAGCTTATATGTTAAGTAAAATTTTAAGATCCATGATCAGAATAAATATGGGTCAAATAGGGTGAGAGAGAAATAATAGTGCAATTACAATTCGATCAAATAAGTAAGACGTAATACGGAGGGATGAATGCGAAGTGAATGAATCATGTATAGGGAGATTAATGATGTTTAACCAATAATAATAATAATAATAATAATACAAAGATTTATGAATAAAGATAACAGGAACAATTACAATTGACTACGAAAGGTCATAGTCAAATTGGGTCATTCAATAGTTAAGATTACGATTGATTAATTGGCCTTGATGTTGGCCAGGGGAGGAGGAGTGGCTGAACATATTTCTTCTGTACGCATAGCTCCGGTTTCTTCATTCGGATGGCTACTGCTTCAGCCGTTTGAAGGACTTTCAGTCTGACCAGTTTTGGCAAAAAATTACTTACCTTATAAATAATTGAAAAAGATTGGTTTATACTGGCACTATGACCGGTTTGTACTAAATGGGCCAATATTGAGCTGTTCACCTTCTTCATCAAACCTTTGTTTAACCACGCTGGAAGGTGTTCACGAGCACGAAAATGTAAATTTCTAGAACTTCGACCAATATAACTCGCTCCACAGGAGCAGTTGAACTGATAAATACAAAATGATGTGGTCATTCTAGGTAATTCATCTTTTAGCTTCGGTGTGACCATCGGGCGCGTAGAAAATACTAATCGCAGTTCTCCGGCGTTAAAAGACTTTTGTATTGTCCTACGTAGTCTCTGAGTTAGTATTTCGTTAGCTGCATCCCCTCTGAATTGTAGACGCATGAACAAGGATTTCTTCTTCACTGTTTGTATTTCGCCTTCGTGACCACATATTTAATTATAAACTTTCTAGGGTAGCCGTTCTCCCTGAGAGTATTATGCAAGGTGGTAAGCTCTTGTTCGACTATATCAGCAGAACATATAGTGCGAATACGGTAGCTAAGGTTTTTGATCAAATTTCGTTTGTACTGTAGAGGTACAAATCCATCACTTTCCTAGTCAAGAGAACATCCAAAAAGGATATTCGGCCATCATTCTCTTCTTCGATGTGGATTAACATTTAAGCTAGAAACAGATATATGTGTAACGTGTCATGTGATCAAGAGTACAGGTTTACACAGATATGATAGTGATCATAATAGAACAACAGAATAAACCAGTTGTTACTGTTCAAATAACATTGTTTGTTAAGTTGATAAAAGAGTTTAACAAAATTTAACAATAATCGAAAATAATTATAGAAGAGTTGCTATATGTTTTTACAAAACATTTTACATTATTAATTATCAATGTTAACATACAACAAAAGTACTGCACAATGACATCGTAGTAATATCATAAAAATAGGTTAAAAAAAAATTGAGACATCACTTATCATTGCTTACGAAGACGAAAGAAATAATAACTCCCAATATTAACAAAATAAATATTAAATACTCTCTAAGATTTATGCGATATCTTTTTTCTTCTAAAAGAAAATACAAACAGATAACCACTTATTGATTCTCAATAGTAAAAACCTTGACTGAAACTTTAAAATTCGGTATTGTTTCGTTTTGATTTCAATGGTTAATCCATTTTATAAGAATGTAACATGTCATTTATGCACTGGAAATTATCGCTGTTATTTTTTAATTATTTTATCTTACGTTTGTTTTCATATTTATCAAACGAATATTCAATTTCAATGGTTGAGATCATGAGTCAGTTGAAGCTAGACCACCATGGAAAACCTGGAAGCACTGGACGGCCGTTTCGTCCTGTTGTGGGACTCCCCAGCAGTGCGCATCCACGACCTCACCCCCTGCGAGATTCGAATCAAGAACCTACTGGTTTCGCGCCCCAGGTTTTCCATGGTGGTCTAGCTTCAACTGACTCATGATCTTAACCATTGAAATTACTAAAATCTCCACAAAAACCCATCTGATATTAATCAACATATGCTCACTAGTGACTGGCTTCACGAGGTATATCCTGGAGTTCTAGTGAGAAGTAGTGACCAGTGGAGTTCAACCAGGTCTGTTGTGAGATAGTAACTCACTGAAGACAGTGGTGAATGTGTCGCTCAATTTCGTGGATTAGTTGAAGTTAGACATTAACACCGTTGGATGCCGGCTCAGTGGTCTAGTGGCTAAGTGCTCGGGAGCGAAACCAGTAGGTTCTGGCTTCGAGTCCCGCGGGGGGCGAGGTCGTGGGTGCGCACTACTGAGGAGTCCCACAACAGGACGAAACGGCCGTCCAGTGCTTCCAGGTTTTCCATGGTGGTCTAGCTTCAACTGACTCATGATATCAACTGTTGCAATTACTACAATCTCCACAAAAACCCATCGAATATTCAATTCTTAATCTTTTCAATAAATCATAGAATATAGGTTGGATTATAGTTCAAAGATAATGCAAACACAATATGATAAAAATAATTTATATAAAAGACAGATGTGAACGATAATTATCCATTTACTGTTGGCAAGACCTAGAAAACTCTTTGAAAAAAAAGTCAAAAAAGGTTCTGAAAATTCTGAGAAGCATCTTATCCAATTAGTATTCAGTAGAAGTTTTGCCAGAAACATCTAGAAATTTTAAAATCACATGTCGAGTTTTGAATTGGATGATTACTTATACTGCCACTATGTTTGGTGGCGTCCTAGAACTTTCCGGAAACCCAAGACCATCTAAAATACCAAAAAACCCGGATTTTCTATACATAAACAAATCTTGGAGTAAAGCATTTCTTACATATTTCGCGCCTTTTCTCTCGTATTCAAGTCTCTGTGTAGATTTAGCCTGGAGTTAAATAAAATTGCTTAGGAACCAAACCTAGCGTTCAATTAGAAAATTTATCACTTACCAAGCACAAAAATTATAAAGAACAAGTTAACACTTATTAATGATAATTAATTATATTACAAGGGAAGATCAGTAAATTCTAAGATTAAGACACATTCGATTTGAATACAGAGAACAATTTCGAATAGATTACCTGGGAAAGTCACTACTTCGCAGATGTTTATAGTCGAAAACTCTTTATGATCCAGTTCACTTGACTTTCTGAATAAATTTGGATAATTATTTAAATGAGAACACATGTTCGAAGTTGACCGTGCATTCGAAAATAGGGCTGTTGTCTAACTCAGATTAACTGAAATATAGTCATTTAGTTTATTGGTCAGAATCGTATTTAAAAAGTCCGTTCACTGTGTGGTCAAGATATTTTCTTCCAATATGTGAAATTTTATACCAAAATTTAGGTACTTTGGACGCCATACTTAACAATTTTCTATTTTCTTTAGTTTCACATAATGGATTGCCTTTGACTGTAGAACTATTGAATCACTATAAATCACTAGATAGCTGTTTCGCCCCAGTAAAGGATCACTCACGAGGGAAAAAAATAACTCATCCAAGAATCGAAGAAAGGACATACACATGGAGAGGTGATCGAGTTACCTTTGAACCAACCAGTTGGTATACAATAATTTATATTTCTGAATCCATTCATTGAGTGTTAGGTGATGGGAAGTAGTCATAAGAAATCCTGAACCTTGGTTTCAAGCTAGTTGATACTCGTAATCTGTAATTTTGAGTCCCGATATGTCCTCTGCCCCAGCTCACGCCTCATAGTTTGAAACGTTACCAGTGGGTTATTTGGGTCACGATTAACCTTCCGTACGATTGTGGTATCCCTAGGTGATTAACATTTGAGTTATGATTTATTGTCATGTTTATTCATTCCTTCAGTCAAGCAGTCATTTCGTAATGTTATGTGATAATCACTCATTGTTATTGGCGTTGACTACCTAATGAGCACTTTTAGGAGAATTTATTTAAAAATTCTTACGAACTTGGTTGATAACACAATTTTTCTAGTTTATTAATTTTATCGTCAACTGATTCTCATTAATTTACTTATCAGGTTAACATTGTTGGAAAAGTAAAATTTCAAGTTTTCTATCGAAGCGTTATGAATCCTTATAAACATTGAAAATACACATAAACATTACAATCACGGTTGATATAATTGTAAATTCATGTTTTGGCAAAATACATATCGTGGTAATGAGTAGTTGAACAAAGTACAATTAAGTACCTTAAAACAATCGCTTTTCTCTGTAAAAATAAAAAAAAATCTATGCGAATTTCTTATTCATGAAAAGAATCAATTCAGTCAGCTAATCAAAAACATGTTACGAAACTGTCAGATATGACACATTTCATCATGTGATCGACAGTCAATAACGACGGCTACTCTCTGCTGCTCTAATTCCAGAAGTCATTATACCTATATAAAGGCGAAGTCTAGGGGAAACAGGTAAATGACAAGTATCGATAGTTATAAATCAGTCATTTAATTCAATTGAATGGTAGACAAATATTTAGGTTGCTTTATTCGATACCTTCCCTTTGTAAATTTCAGCAAAGTATGAACATCAATGTTATGGGAATAAGATGAATTCATTTTAGATATCTACAACTTATAAACGATTTTAGTGACCCAGTATCGGACTCCAGCTATTCCTTATGATGATTTGTTATCGAAATATACATACCATCAACCCTCGTTTATGATTAACGACTTATATCGCATTAGTAAATAACGGCATTGAATAAGTCAAATACGAGAATGTATTTTGAATTCGTATATTTCATACAACTTTGGATTTGGATAAACAATCAAGGAAACGAAACGGAGAAGGAGAGTAAGGCAACTCAAGTTAATCATGCTTGACTCGAAACTTAGAGTCAATCAAAAATAAGTTACACGCACATAATGAATAGCGTAATTAACACATACGACCATGTAAACAACATTCAGGATTAATAAGCGAATAAGTGACAAGGTCGAAATGTAGCTTGAGAAGAATGAATAAATTGGTGTGTCCAGAATCTAGAATAACCTATATGGGCTTAATATAGTACCAGCCACTATACGATAATATCAATCGGAATCACGAACTTAACTAAGTTACAAAATCATTAATAACACCAAGGTATCGGATAGCTGTTTTGTTCTAGTGTGGGATTGTTCAGTAGTGTGCTTTTATGATCACTCCACAGAGGATCGAAGCCAGGACATTCAAGCTCGCCTCAGGTAAAATTTTCCTTGATAATCCCCACAACCCTCAAAATATTGATGGTACTAATCATTACAATGTGGATTAAATTTTTCGGTTGACGTGTAGATTAAAAAAGAAAAGTCACGGGAGAATTAAAGATCCAGTGAAAATATTAATGTTACCAAACAAATGACGACAGTACAAAGAAAAAAGAATCACTTTTCAAAATATCATACACTAAACTTGTAAAAACGTAATTGCAGTTAAATTTACATATGATGGTCTACAAATGAAATAGGAGGTTGCGCAAATAAACAAGAAAATTAAATATTAAAGTTATGTAAGTCATAGAAATAAACAGTAATAACATTGAAAATGTCGATAATTTCAATGGTTGAACTCATGAGTCAATTGAACCTAGGCTACCATGGGAAACCTCGAAGCACTGGACGACCATTTCGTCATAGTATGGGACTCCTCAGCAGTGCGCATCCACGACCCCGCACCCTACGAGATTCGAACCCAGGACCTATCAGTCTCGCGCGCCGGCGCCTAACCACCAGACCACTGAACCAGCATTCAACGGTGTTAATTTCTAACCTCAACTAATACACGAAATTGCGCCACCGTACACCATTGTCCTCAGTGAGCTAATATCTCACAACAGACCCGGTTGAACTCCACTGGTCACGGCTCCTCACTAGAACTCCAGGAAATGCCTCTTAAAGTCAGTCAATAGTGAGCAGATGATTATTATCAGAAGGGGTTTCGTGGAGATAATTGTTTACTTTACGAATATAGAAGACAAAGCACAGAGCAATAATTGACACTAACAAATAAATCTTTGTGTACAAAAGAGTCATGTCGATTTGCTTATTATATTGTGACCACAGTCATTATTACTAATCGCTGTCTTATTCTTCATCTTCTATACTCAGAGTAGACAATTATCTTTTGCGTTCTTTTCTAAAAACTCCATAACAGTGTTAACACCGTTAAATGGAGACTCAGTAGTCTTGAGGTTAAGCGTTCAAGCCCAATACCAAAAAATCTGGGTTCTGTTTCAGTGAAATTCAACAATTTCCATAAATCCTTACTAATTACATTTGAAAAATTTAGATGAATTTGTAGAATGATGTAACATCTCATTTTTATTATAAACAATATTTAGAACTTTTAGTGGTTTATTGTGTTTTATGAGTTAGATTATTGAATTGCAAAACTTCCGTTGTCATTCTAGGAAACAACAGCCTGTAATTGCATATGAAGTTCCATAAATAAATCGTTTAGCTCGAAGGACACAACACTACCAAAAAACATCCAGCAGAGATGTAAATATTCTTCATCATTTATAAATTAACTACAAGTATAACTCTACAGATCAAATAAATAAAATCGTCTAAAAGTTTATGTAGTGAATTCTTAAGGCTATGATGACTGACAGATTGATAAGACTTTTTAGACGCATAAATTTGATTGATATCTTTTATTAGGAAGGACTTCAGTTATATGCAGATGATTTTGTTTAGAAAGACAATGACAGTTTCAAGATAAAACCACTTAGCTAACAAAAGATAATTCATTACAGAGGAAACTTGACGCTAGTATGTGTGATATGACTAGACTTTCTTGATTCCTTTATCGACTCAATTAAAAATATCAATGTAAATGTTGGGAAAATATTCTTATTGGATGTCACTTCTCTCTTTACAAACGGTCCTCTCACAGAAACTACTATGCTTTCAAAATCGTTGAATAAAACATTTTACCCAGCTAAGCTCCAAACTGTTTTCTCAAACCGGCCTACCATTCACGGATGTGTTATGGATAAACTTCCACTTTAGGCCATATCAATGTGCATCTAAATTTACCTGCTTATGTGGGGCATGTTATATTAATCGCACAAAGCGATCACTTCCCAAACGCATTTCAGAACACTACCCCGTATGGCTTTTAAAAGGAGAATGCTAAGCAATTACCAGTTCAATAAGGAACATTTAATCAACTTTGGACACCGATTCAAAGGAGTCTTCTTTTAAAGTAATCTACACATTCAAAGGGATTGGATCGAAAGGAAGTCGAATCAAAATCTTGTGCACTGCTGATGCATTAGCAATCCACCAACTCAAGCTTGAACTTTACGTGCAAAAACGATTCGTCCAACTTCTCATCTTTCCTTAGCCCTAATTCCCTTTAGTAGTATGTTTCGCTTTTTTTCTTTTATTATTATCATCGACTTTTTAAGTTAGTGTTTTGTAATTCTAAACTGCACTCAGTTATTATCATTATTATTATTACCTTATACAAGTTCTCTTGGTTATTACTACTCATATTACTACTCAGTTTTTTATTATTATAACCTATATGTTCGTCGTTTTTTCTTCATCTCTGACCTGTAAATTATTTTCATCCTTATATTCTTTTCTTACGCCTTGATTATTGCGTAACCTTATTTAATAATAAGAATCTCGAATCAATTTATGATGAAACAGACTTATGTATCTTTCATATAACTATAAATACGAATATACAGTTTACGGAAATGATTTTGTCGAAAAGAAAATTATCTTTGCTGAATTCTCTTTATTTTTATTCAATGAGTTATTTTAATTATCTAAGTAGTAGTATATCACAGTCTTAAATGATACTATTTATCAGTTATGTCAACATGAGAAATATTGTATCAATCTTTTTTTTTGTTGTATATTAAACATTGATTCTAATATGAATAATGATTATGAAACACATAGACTGCGTCTTATTTTATTATCTTATCATATGCCAGTTTTGTAAACAACAAATTGTAATGTGTTAACCACTAACACACAAAAAAAGTAACAAAATAGTACATGAATATCAGGAGATAAATTTATACATAAACACACACACATATATATATATATATATATATATATATATATATATATATATATACGCTCTTTTACAACTTAAACAGTTATAAGTAGTAACAAAATAATAAACATACATTGTGGACAATGAATAATGAAGAACAAAAAAATAAAACCAAACAAGAAAACATACTTTTGAGGTCAGTTGTAAAAAGCTGGAGATAATAAAATAACAACGCCATTATTAATACTAATGAGAATAGAGTAAATGTAATATGATATGAAGAATATTGGCTGATAAAACGCGTGTATATGTGTATGTGTGTCTTCATATGCTTGAAGGGTCTTATTGTGTTTGTTATTAATAATGATAAATAGTAGGGAAGATCGTATAATTATTATTATTATTATCATTAACAATAAAGTAACGTATATGTTGAGACTTAAACGGAATTGCTTTAAGTAAAAAATACAAATATAATAGACAAACAAATAACCTGTATTTGTTCTTCATAAACACGGAATAATAATAATAATAATGTTGAAAAAAAAAGAAAATATGAATCATCAGCCGATATCATCAGCTGATCCTTACTTTTCCTCTATTATTACCAAGTACATTTGTGAATATATGACGAAGATTTATTAACAAATTTTATTTTTTTTTTTAGAATCCAGGTCATATTATCATTAGTATATATTCCTATATTTCTCCTGGTTTACCACATAATAAAGGAACGCCAATAATTAAAGCCAATGGTCCAATATGTCCAATAAAGTGCATTTGTCTGAAGAATTTTTTAAAAAAAAGAACAGTAGAGAAAAGAGAAGAGAAGAAACATTAGTAGTGTATACTCTACGATCATTAATATCTAATTAATGTACTAATAGAATAGAATCACTTTTATATTATGAAAATTATACAACATTAGTGATAAATAATAACAATATTGAAACTAATGTTTAATAGTTTGATTTATCGAATGTTAAAGATCGAAATCCGGAAGTAAATCAAGTGATTGTGTTATGTCCCGATAAACATAATGAATGGTAACTTTTGAGATCCATTTATGGACTAATACTATACGTATATTTTTATCGTATAATTGTTAATTAACTAAACTGTTCACATTTATGTCCCCCTTATTATGAGTCTTATTTTGACCTATGAACTGTTATTATACGATTTAGCATTCTCGAATTATGCCCTGTCTATTAACTACTATCTCCCACATTCACAGCCACATTTCGCTAAATATTGTACGAATGTTGTTTCCTATTTTACGGTACGATGTGGTCTATCTCGTTGGTATATAAACACAGTATGCTTGAAATAACTGCTCTTTAATTGGCGGTATTGTTACGTTATACATTAACAGGACACACAGGCCACAAGTTATAACAACTTGAGCTGGTGAATTGCCGATGCCTCAGTAGTACATAAAATATTGATTCGACATCCCTTTGATCCAATTCATTTGATTGTATAGATTACTTTAAAAAAAGACTCCTTTGGAGCGATGTGTCCACAGTTGACTAAATGCTTCTGTATAGAACTAGTAAAACCAGATAGTGTTCTCAGATAGGTTTGAAAAGTGATCACTTTGTGCAACCAATGTAATCTGACCCGTTAATTATTTTCATCCTTGTATTTCCTTCCGTACCCCATAATTATTGCGTAACCTCAGTTGATAATAAGAGTCTCGAATCATGAGCATAAATAATTATTCAGTGTTTATTTGAATATACATGAATACTTGAACTTTATGTACTAACAAAACTCCCACTCCACTTTTAATCTTTTCAGTCACATACCAGGTCACGGTTACGTATAGGAAGTAAGTATATAGGAATCTAATGGCGGAACAAAATAAAAATCTCCACTTGAGCTAGGAAATGCTCAACATTTCAAAATCGAATGAATTAATACATCAGCTGCATATAACAATACGTGGTAAAATTACAAATGAAATTTCAACGACAATAACAATATCGACTTTTATCTATATATACATAATTTAACTAACCTCCAAAAATGCAAAACTTTATCAGTAGTCAATAGAAGAAACGGTACACCCAAATAATTTAAGCATAACATAGCGCCTAAATTAGTTAGTACATTATAGAAACAATGTAATCCGGATGAACGAAGGAAATACGGCCGGAGATGTTTTCGACAAACTCTACATAAATTTTATTTTGAAAAAGAAAACACAATACACTTTTGTTTAAATGGTCAATTTATGAAATAATTTGGAAGTTAGAAAATTTTGTAATGTCAATTCGTCAATTAGTTCGTTGAATGGAATTTTACCTGAATATTATAAATCAGTAGTAAGTAAATATTCTGGTAGAAGATCAACCAATGAAAAGCCAGAGGGTAAAAGTTGTTTCGTGTTAGAATTTAAGAAAGGTCAAGGTATAAGAGAAAGCAGTGGCAGATAACACATGCGTTACTGTGTTCGCATAGCACAACCATTAGAGTGAAGTAGTATTCAAACTGTGTATTACTTTGGAAACTTAGTTATGAGTAATATCCTAATGAATAGGCAAGGAAGATAATGATTGGTTGTTTGCTTCATCAGATTAGCAGGTAGTCCGACAGGTGTTAGATAAGTCATATATTCCCCTACCCATATTATTATTGTGATTGTTGTCGGGTTTTGGTGTGGAAATATACTCACGTTCTAGTCCGGCTAATCACGTGCTTTGACCTGAGTTGTGTTGACGTCCTGGAGAATAGACACTGGGAGTGCATTTAGTGCAGATATTGATCCAGGGCAAATTAGCGCCCCATTTTCGTAGACGGGAAACTGAGCGTTATGACACACCCAGTGTGACAGGAATGTACGATATTATTAGGTCAAACTTGTTGAACAACTTGAGATGAGTTTGAATCTGAAGTTGCATGATTCGATATTATATTAACAAAACCTAGATCTTACTGAATTAAGACGTAACCATTACTTTGAAGCCCCTATCCGCAGCTATTCACCTCAGCAACAGCTCAATTTGAAATAAAAAAAAGTTTGAGACCCTACTAACGAACAAAACATGCCATAGCGAATATATCGAACACAATATTCATAAATGACTATAGACTATTGGTTGCCTAAAGAGCATGACCACAATGTTTCGAATTGATAGAGCAAAAAGAACGAATGCATGTTTGAAGGTATTCTATATTTAAGTACAAAGAAATAATTGATGAGTATAACTTTTTTAATGCTTTGGTGGAAATCCGTTGAATATACAATTCTTTATTAGGTGTATTATGTTTGTTCAGTCCAGATTACTTAATAATACAACAAACTAGAAGAATAGCCAATGTAGTTATTTTGTGAATATTTTTTCTGTTACAGCCAAATCGATTCACAATCATGTAACTTTTGTTGAATGCATGATCGTATTTTTATGTTATTGATTCATTCCCCTCAATTCGGTTAACTGACAAATGTTATAATTTTCTAGGATCTATTTGGTCAGCAAATGCAATACAGTTTTATGAGTAAACTATTTATTCGACTTCAAAAAGTTGGATATTTATCGACCACACTATTCACCATAGAATTTTAGTCAGTCAATCACAACGTAGAACTTGTACGTATGTACATCGGTTCATGTTGCCACACCCGTTAGCACACCAAGATGAAATTGTCAAACCAAATCACAGAATAGTAGACATACTAACAGTATCAGTGGTAATAGAAAACATTAGGCATTGAATACACAACTTGAAAAAAAGCATACATATTAGTGAAATAAAATTTTTAAAAATTATCAGGAATTTACAATCTTAGACATTTATGATCAAACACCAGTAACATCCGAATATCTTCTATTTTTAATGGTCATGTTTTACACTCATAAAATAGGACGGAGCGAACTGACATATATCTTGCTTACACTCCAAGTGACGCAAGTTGGCAAAAACCAATTGAGTCTACTGAATTCGTGCTGAGATTTCGTCAGACACCAGACTTTCACGACTGATGAGACCACCGAGATCAGTAAAGCGTTCAATGCGTTCAACTACCTAACACCTTATCACTAATTCAGGCGATGAAGTAAACCACTCCCGAAGTAGCATTTTACATTTGCAGAGAGATGCACCCCAATCATGCTTGGATTGTTGTTTAAGGTCTGAATTTTGTCAGCGTCTTCACAAAACAGAACTATATCATTTGCGTATTTCAGGTCAGAAAGTGAATCTCCTGGTAGAAGATCAAGCCCTGAAAAGTCAGACGATGAAAGTGTTATCATTAAAAGCATGTCTATGACAGTGTTAAATAAAAATGGAGAAAGAGGGTAACCTTGAAGAACACCACTTGAAGTAACCAATTTTGATGACAGTTCGCCATTAAGCTCTGACTCGACCAGTAGTTTGAGTATGGTGTCTGTGAAAGGTTAATGTAATTCTTTGGTACACCTTTCAATGACAGATACTGCCATAGAACCTCATGATCAACGGAGTCAAACACAACATTTAGGTCAAGGAATTTCTGTGTTCCAGAATCTGTCGAAGGGTGTATAGCTGGTCTACACATATACTTCCAGGTCTGAAACCAACCTGGATCTCTCGAGCTTGCTCTTCAAGAGCTCTAGTTAGATATCGAAGCATTATTAAGGTTAACATTTTAGACACTAAATTAATTAAACTGATTTCTCTGTGACTGTCACAAGGTGAGTTTTGTCTTTTCTTATAAACTGGAGCGATCAGCAACCACTCAGGCCAGTCAGATGGGGGGGTGTATGTCTAGTCCCCAGATTCAGGCAAAATTTCAGTAAATTTATCTACTAAAACTGGACTACCATGCTTAAAAATTTCAACGATTAGTCTATTAGGCCCTGTTTTGCTTGAGATTATTGATAGCCTTTTCAACCGTACAGAGTTGGAAGACTTACATCATAGAACAAACAATACGCTAACAATATAGAAATACAGATTATAAGAACTTATATTGTTAGGCTAGGTACATGTATATTGTAATATGAAAAATAAGTGTTACATAATTTCGTATAATATCTTAATTATATATATATAATTAATTAGCCCCCAAATGCCCTGGTACGGCCGAGAGTGGGGAGAGTCCGCTCTCCCTATCGAAATGCTTTCACACGGCCACGCGAATATAGCCTCTGCCAGGGAAGTCCGACTCACTGTCTTCCCGTTGCGGGGGTGTTGTCTACGAAAATGAGAGGACGAAAAGCGAATGTCCGGCGCTTTAACCGGATTCAAAACCAATGGTGCACATGGGCTCCAGTATCCTGCGGGAACAAGTGGCGTATGAACCAATTGTTGGTCACCGGCTTCCATGGGACTGCATCTCCTTACGATGCTCCACTGTCTTGTGGATCAGACCTTCAGGTCGAAGGCTCGGGGTGTGACCTCCTAAGAAAACCACCTGCTTCGGTTTTGGCACCCGGGCAGTATCACAGCCCTCACACATATCGAATGAGATTTGTGTTGCGCATATGTATTTGGTGCCTCTTTGTACCATTATGTATGTGTTGAAATAAATAAATAAATAAATAAATAAGTTCATTAAAAAATCAATAAATAAATAAAAATTACTAATTTTTTTTTTAAAAAAAGTCATGATAATCACTATGCTGGTAATACCAAAGATAATTTACACTAAACAGAAAATATTTCTCTTTACGGGTTATCATTATCACGTGATGTTTATTCTCTCTCCTTTTTTTTAAAATTTAATCAATAAATGACCTTATAAGAAAAATCACTCGATAAAAAAAATAGAAGAGAATAACCATTAGAAAATAAAGGATAAATAATAGAGGAAACAAACTAGATATAACTTTAAGCATATATACACAACTGTAGATTGAATCTGTCATAGATTGATTTCGATTATGAGGTACTATTGAAAATTATAAAATAGTAGATAGCTATTTCATCTTAGTGAAAAGCTTTTTAGCAGAATGTATCTATGATTCGACTGTGGATCGAACTCAGGATCTGATGACAAACATGGAATCAGTAAAACCAATGAATCAGTGTCTAATTGTAACTTCGATCTTTTCACGGATATAATGCACCAATCATCTAATGTCATTGATGGCAACTGTTTCACATCTAATATTTTCCAAAACTAAAAATCACGACTTCTTATAGTGTTTCTCCACACCAACCTTATGAAGTGATTATAGTTGGAAACGTGAAACAGTGGATTTTAATTTGGCAGTTCAGAAGTTAAGTACCAACAGCTAGATCTGAAAGTTTAGAGTTTGGATTATGAACGTAATTCAAGATACTCATACTAGGACGAAACAGCCATGTATACCACTACATGGTTTCGGATAGTATCCGAACTGAAGTAAATCCGTGATGAATATATATGATTATTAAAATCAGCTAATTTTTTAAAAACCAAATCACAAGTGATGTGGACAGGGAAACAAGAAACCCTGACAAATTACGAAAGCTATTTTTCGGGACGTTATTTCATTTTATTCAAAGCTTGTAAAATACTGACATTTATTTTTGTCCCTGTTTTATTCTACAGAACATGAGCTTTCGTTCGGCGTGTCATTCATTGTCATACCCCTTTTTGTTCCGAAGCTATTATAATCTAAACATAATATTTTGCACCTTATTTTCTATCCTAATTCCGAGTTTTGGGACATAATTGTATTTTCACAGATTGAAATCATGAATCAGTTGAAGCTAGACCACCATGAAAAGCCTTAAAGCACTGGACGACCATTTCGTCCTAGTATGGGACTCCTCAGCAGTGCGCCTCCACGGTCCCGCGGGATCCGAACCCAGGACCTACTGGTTTCGCGCGCGAGCACCTAACCATTAGACCACTGAGCCGGCATCCAACGGTGTTAATGTCTAACTTCAACCAATCCACGAAGTTGCACCACCGTATACCATTGTCTTCGGTGAACTAATATCTCACAACAGACCTGGTTGAACTCCACTGGTAACGGCTTCCCACTAGAACTCTAGGAGTATCTCTTGAAGTCAGTCACTAGTGAGCAGATGATTATTATCTCCACAAACCCCTTCTGATAATAACTGTATTTTTCCAAATTACTGTACGTTGTGGTCAGGTAAACTGCCTATTTATTCATGTACCTTTTTGCACTAATCTGAATTCAGAGATTTCACAGGAAATCAGGATATCGCAATACAGCCAATAGTGTTCCAACTGTCTTGTCTTCTCTCATTCGCGTGCTTGCCAGCCAATCTGGTGCTAGAATGGTTTTCCTCTCTCTATCCCACCTCGAACTCACGCGTACTAGCCTCAAGGTTAAACCGATCGGCCTATTGCGTCAAGGCCTTAATCTAGAGTAGACAGATCAAGGTCATAATGCGACGACGAACTGATCTCAGTTGAAAAACTATCGGAAACCAGGAAGCACTGGGCAGTTGTTTCGACTTTGTATGGGACTCCTCGTCAGCGCACATCCAAGACCCCACTGATATCGTCAATTGAAAAATAACGTTCTAACTAATTCATTACTGCAACAGCGAACATGACCAGTCATACATTACTATACAGTCACTCGGTCATAAAGAAGTTACAAACGTGATTCAGAATAAGTATTCACATATCAGATCAACACATCCAGAGGTGAATTGCAAAATGTAACGCGAACAAATAGAAACGGAAAACTAAACATGAAGATCGCAGTTCAAAAATCGCAAATGGAAATTAGGAGTGACAGGCGTTAAATAATATTATGACACACGATCTCGAGGGAACTAAAGGATGAGCTCATTTAAGTTACTGAGACTGGTATTATCGAATGAAAGAAAGTGACTGAGATGACAGGATAACTATAACAAAAGTCTGCTAAGTTTGAAATGTCAGTTACTAATGTAGGAACTGAAACGAATACACATCGGTTGTGGTTTCCACATCTTATATCAGCACATCAAGACGGGAAATTAACAAGATGAGAGGTAAAGGGGAGTAATTAATTTCAACTGTAATCGAAACCTGAACATTAAAAACATTATTCGAAAGGAGCAAGATTATAAATAACGCAATACTCAAGATATAAAGATTAAAGAGTGATTTCAACTGTACTCCTGCGATCGATTTTCCAACATATTACAAAACATTCCTAATAACTGATTACAGTTATTGTGGAGGCCCAAATCAGAGAGTCTACAACTATTCACATTAGCAGTGGATGACTTCAGTAACTTATGCCATTTCGTCAACTGTTCGTTACTGGTCTGTTTTAAATCTATTATAATACCAGTCACATTTGTAAGTCAGGTTAGGTTGTGATCAAGTACACTCATATTGATATTGAAATAATAGATTTGTAGCTTACTTCTACCTAATTTTTTTCTCATGTTTTTCGGAAGAACACTGAAAGCTTCACGAGTAAACCACTAAGCTCAGAGAACGAAACTCCACCAAAGGTTGGCCAGGTTCACGCAGCATATGTTGTAAAACCCTTAGTCGATGAAGGTTTATAGTAAGGACAATCAATATTTTCTGAATGCTAAACTGTTCTTTTTTGCTGAAATTGTTCACTACTGCTATTAGTATGACTGTTGGTTATGGCTGCAAAAGAACTGCTTTCTACTTCCTAGTAGACGGAACTAATAGCGAGTTCCACAGAAGTATGAACAAATGAAGTTTGTGTGAAACACCATGAATACAGAATGTGCTAACATTAGAATTTAACAAAAAACAGCCAAAAGAAATGTTTGTTCCAGGGTTATTTTTTTGCAAGAATATCAAATTTACTACAATTTTATCCATTTTATCGAAAACCAGAAACAACATACTTCTATCAGTAATTAACCACTATCCCTATTCAACATCTTAATGAAGGTGTAGGGGCAGAAAACAAAAAAAAACCGTAAATAGGTACACTTATCAAAATTACCATTCTCCTTCCTAATTTTGTCAAGGATAAATATTAGCCGAAGGACTAACACAGAGCAAAACCTAAACACTTATGTAACTCTGATCTGGAATTTGTTAACAATGTGCAACCATGACCTTAAGAGGAATTTAGCTAAGAACTTTTAAATCACATGGTAAGCATATCGTAAGAATCACAGAAGGAAAAAGAAAGAGACGGTCTTATAAAATGTTTCTACAAAGTTTACTTGGTACATTCTTTGAAAAAGTCAAAATGATTACAAATGCGGTTTGACAGGGATTTGTTGAGTAAATAGTAAACACAAAGTGGATAATATTGAATGTATTCAACACAATACACATAAAAAGTTTACTTAATTATCACATGTTTCTAACATAACCTATAAATATTTAGAAGGAAAGCTCTGTTATAAATAAATGTACTAGAAGAATGAATTTTAATATAGATGAAATCAATGATCTTACTATTCTATTATGTAATAATTCATTTACTTTTGAAACCATCCATTTTGAGTGTACAAAGCTAACTTCTCAACACATACAAATTATGCATTCATCTCAATAGGTTTTACACTCACATTAAAACCTTATCAAATTCAAGTATGTCAATCTAGTCGCGATTTGCAGTTAAGAAAAATAATAAAATGATGAATTGATCTTATTCTCAATGTATCACATGCTATTCTCAACTGTGATCAGAAGAAAAAATATATAAGGATATTCAAAATGAACAAGACAAGCACACATTTTAGTAAGACACATTGTTTCGATATCTGATAAGTATATTTTCAAGTACAGTCTTACAATTGGAAAAACAAAAAGTTTCAAAACAATAGTTACCTTTTTCCATGCACTAACATTTTATTGAAGCGTTAGGTTATGGGTAGTGTAAAATACAAGAAAGTGAAAGAGAAAATTGAAGAAGCCCATTTTTATCCAGTTTAGAACTCATCAGTTGAATGTAATTACAATCTATTGTTGATATGATAGGCATATTGAAACTTTAACCAACTATCAGAGGGCTCTATTCAAAACATCGTCCACTAGTTAAACAATTATGATCTATATTATTATATTTGTCAGAGTTTGTGTCCTCCAGTAATTGATATTTACGACTAATTATTATCAGTCACTACACTATAAATATTGCTTTCCAGTGAATAAACAAATAGTTACAAATGATGCCTCAACTTGTCTCCTACACAAATACATACTAGTTTTAATTTGGCAAGTATGATCATTTAAAGCTATCTGACTGGCAGACAAGAAAGTGATCTTCATATGCAAAGTGTTAGTTGGTATTTTTACTTTACAATTAGATAACTGTGAAATCTGACAAATGTTGATCAAACATGATTATATATATACATATACATATCACTTTTATTAATTTGTATCATTTCGAGACCAAATAACTAGATTTCTATCATGTTCTTTGTAGGTAGTACACTTATGATGGTACACTATCGAACGGGAATAATCATAGTAGTTCTACGCGCAACTCGCTTAAACTTCCAGCTCGATTATTTCCTAACTTTGTAAATGTTACAAATTTTCCGGTTTTCGATTCATTTTAATTGACTAATAGTTCATGTTAACCGCCTAATATATAGACAAATGTTTTGATCGAAACTTCCTAATTTAATACAGATAAATACTGATAAATTCAAGTTGAATTATCATGATCGTTGATGCATTTTTCTTCTCAAAAAGTCCTTGAATTGGAATTCATGCATCAAATATATCACGCAACGGGAAAAAAAACAAGTCATTAGAGTGAAAATGGGGTTAGAAACGTTTGATATTGCATGAAGGACATGATTTTTCATACATATAATTCGAATAATAATAGATTAAGTGGATATTAAAATGAAATTTCGCTGTAATATAACATATCTTCATTGAAAATTCTTCGATACAATTAAAATTATGGTTTTGAATAAAATGACTACTACTATTACTCAATAAACATAAGAAGTTTAACTGTGAAACATATCTTCATATATATAGAGAGACTTCGTCAAGATTCTCTGTTTAAGTCTCAAAAAGGTTTGATAGGAATACTTTTGTATTTATTTGAAAAAAAGATATCCACCTAGAGAGGAAAAAGATCAGTTGAAATTGCAATAATACACAACCAAGATGGTTTTAGTACGAAAATCTGAATGTATATTCAAACCAAAAGGGTGAACAGATTTATAAGTAATTTTTTACAAAAAAATATTATATCTGGTAAAACGTAAGGTACAATTGATAGATAGAACCATCAAGTGAAACAGAACCGATAACTCCATGACATGAAGTCAATGTCGTGTAACCAGAAAACACTTTAGTTATGCTTTGTATGTATGAAATAGAGAGAGCACACTAAATAGTATCAAACTAGAGAAAATATTAGCTTTGCAATTCTTAGAGTTTCACAATCAAAACGAGGTCAATATGAAATTAAATCGAATATAACAAGTAAACTCTTCGTTACCACTTCAAAAAAAGCTTAAACTAACCTTCCTGTCACTGTGATTAGAGCTGCAGATACAAAAACTAGATAATAACCTGGATAGAAACCATGCCACATGGCTGATGCAACGAAAACTGCCCAAACAGCATAACGTTTTGGTACACGATCATATATACATTCACGTAACCAACGTGTTGTTGCTGTATTCCAAGAATCTATGATTGTTTTTGTACTTGTACCAAGCTTAAGAAAATATAGATAATCATTTTCTCATAATCAAATACATAAACTGTTTTAATATACAATAATCAATAAAATAAGTTCTAGAAAGAGAAACAATAGTGGCACGTAAAGTGAAGCATGTTTCAACAATGATTTGAAAGTACTTTTAAACGTGAATTGATATTAACAGAAGAGTAGCTAAAATTACGTAAGCACTGAATAGGTGCTCTTCGCTAAATTAAGACTTCACAGAAGTGTGCACCTACAATGTAACACCATATAAGGTTAAAGGAAAGATCTATACACCTCATGGTAAACACAACACGTTTAAATTAAACTATGATGATCAAAACGAGAAGACAGTCAAAATAAAGATTCAAGCAAAATACTCATAAAATTGAAGGTCAACAAAACAAACAACCAGTTATACATGAAGAAATTCTTACAGATCATTTCTGTCTGAAACTTATTTTGATGATATTGTCTAGAAAGACAAGAAAAGCTACTGACCTAAACTATCCAACTTAAAGAACACAAATTCACCAGAAATATTTAACTCGCTTAATAAGAATCAAATAGTTGTAGCAAATTATTGTGATGAAAAAAAATTTCTTTACAATTGTTTTATTTTTAATTATTTAAATATATAGACATTGGTACAAGGAGGCAGCAAATACATATGCGCCACACAGATCTCATTTGATATGTGCGAGGGCTGTGATACTGCTCGGGTGCCCAAACCGAAGCAGGTGGTTTTCTTAGGGGACCACATCCAGAGCCTTTGACCTAAAAGTCTGATCCACAAGACAGTGGAGCAACGTCAGGTGACGCAGTCACATAGTAGTCAGTGACCAACAATGGGTTCATACGCCATTTGTTCCCTCAGGATCCTGGAGCCCATGTGCACCAACGGTTTGAAATCAGGGTTTTCCAACTCCCCTGTACAGATCCTCCATGTCCACCGACCCGGTTAAAGCACCGAACATTCACTTTTCGTCCTTTCAATTTCGTAGACAACACCCCCACAACGGGAAGACAGTGAGTAGGACTTCCCTGGCAATGGTTGTATATATGTGGCCATGTGAGAGCATTTCGAGTGGGAGAGCTGACTCTCCTCACTCTTAGCCATGCCAGGGCATTTTCAATTGTACACAATTCTCACAAAACTATTATGATTATGGTGACAAAAAGTAATAAAAATGGTAATAATAATATTATTGGGGTATTAGCAAATGATTGTGTCAATTTTCCCTATTTTTAACAAAACTAATAATTAGGCAATAAATAGTTACACTTATAATCAGTGATCATTATAAAGGATAATGACAATAATAATGATTTTTAATGAAATACTGAATATCACATATCTACTAATTAGCATGAAATGAGTGATTAGGTAGTGTATTCTTAACTACAATACAAATAGATAATTAATCAATAGACTGACTACATAGAAAACTTTTTATTGTCATAATGTCATCAGTGTCCGTAGGTACGGTATGAGCTTTGCACCTTCGAAGTGCAAAGTACTTCTACAAGACTGGAAGGATTCTAATCCTGTACTCACTCTGGATGGTGAGCAGATAGAAGTAGTCGAGAAGTTCGTGTATCTAGGTAGCTTTATGAGTGCTGGTGGGGGTGTGAGTGATGAGATCAATGCACTTATAGTGAAAGCCAGAGCGGCTTATGCCAATCTGAGCCATCTTTGGCGCCTTCGTGATGTTAGTCTGGCTGTAAAAGGTCGGGTCTACAACGCGTCGGTGAGAGCAGTTCTGCTCTATGCTTGTGAAACCTGACCTCTCCGAGTTGAGGATGTTTGACGACTCTCTGTGTTCGATCATCGTTGTCTCCGAAGGATTGCTGACATCCAGTGGCAACACCATGTCAGTAATGCAGAGGTTCGGCATCGTGTGTTCGGGCACAGAGATGATAACTCAATTGGTGTCACCATCTTGAAACACCGACTTCGGTGGCTTGGACATGTTCTCCGAATGTCGTCCCAGAGAATTCCACGTCGTGCATTATTTGCCGACTCTGGGATTGGTTGGAAAAAGCGGAGGTGGTCAGTGTATGACATGGTGTCATGGGATGAAAGAAAGCTGCAAAGGGCTGGGTTGTGTTGGTCCTTCACGACTCCCTGGTCGGGGTCCGAGAGATGGTGCTACACAGTGGCTACACAATGGCTCAGAATAGAAGCCAGTGGCGATCCTGCTGTAACCTTCTTTTACTTTCTTCATAAAAGTGGTTGTGTCTCCCTTAACTGAAAGATTTCTCCTGATTGTACCTTTCGGTTCCGCCATTTTTACCATTATTATTATTACACCACCTTACATCAATCTCTTTTTTTCTCTCTCCTTCCCCTTAAATTCTCATTGTTTTGTGTGGCGCATTCTTGTACCAATATTTATGTGTTCAAATAAATAAAATAATAAATAAATAAAATCATCAGTTGATCCTATTAATAGTAGTACAAAAATGGGTAAATGATGATCACACAGTTACGTTTACTTCTTAATCGTTAGAAATTGAATGCATTTTGTAAATAAGCAAAATCCAAGAACAAAAAACGACTGAAAACTTATACAGTAAAAAAATTAAGGAAAGAATTCTTATCCATATTTTATTGATCTATTTTTCGAAGAAACCGTGACCTGAAGATTATTTACTGGTGCGATTCAATAACGTATCCAAATTCTACTTCAGTCAGTCAATCACAACGTAGAACTTGTACGTATGTACATCGTTTCAAATCGCCACACCCGTTAGCACACCAAGATGAAATTGTCAAACCAAATCACAGAATGGTAGACAACTAACAGTATCAGTGGTATTAGAAAACATTAGGCATTGAATACACGACTTGAAAATAGTATTTAAATTAGTGAAATAAAAACAGAAAAAATTATAAGGAATTTACAATCTCAGGATTTACGAGAAAACAAAAAATGGATGCACCTGCTCTATTCCAAACGATTTTTAGCCATTTCATTCAAGGTCTCTAAACACTGGTTACAATAATCGCGCGGGACCCAATTAAATTCTACGTTGTTACTGACTGACTGACTGACATGGTCAATTCCAATTGTCATTGACTTCATGGATTGATGTCATGCTTTAGTTTGGCCGCCTCAAGCCTTATTCCATACTACTCCTGCACTAGAAAACATCGCCTGTACGGTATCGATTCATATAAGAACGTGACGGATCTTAATAATCAAGTATTGTTGATGGTAAAATAATTAGATAATCATTGAAAACTATAGAGCATCGGGTAGTCGTTTCACACATACTAGTAATAGATTTCTCAGTAGTGTGTACATTTGACACTAAGATTTTGTGGTGAATATATTAATTACACTTTGAGACCACCACCGCTATGTTGATATTCAACGGATCATAATCTAAACACATACACAAACTTGGATTTGTCCACGATAATCCAAGATTATATTTCATTTTCATTGGTGATAATTATCTCGCATTTGATATAAAATATTTTAAGTTTCTTTATAACATTCATCGTCCTGTAAACTCGAATGAACTATTCATAGAATTTCATAGATTCGATTCACGTAAATTGTACTGTTCATCTTTTCATAATCAGAACCGTTTTGCCTACTAAATACTTATTTATTGACAGAATATGTAAATATCTAACAAAGTAAGGAATGTCCTTACCTCAATAGGCAAAAAGTAAATATTAGTAGCCAGACGATATTCCGGTTCGCCTTCACTATTAAATCCAGAAAATCCAAAACCTGCGACTAAATTTGATAGACAACCTAATCAGGAAATAAACAAATAAGTATATATATCACTCGTCATACAGATGCATCAAGTCTAGGTAATTCACATAATGTTATTGATAAGTCCATAACTGATTCAAAAGTAAGTTGGAATCAAGTAGTTTAATTTATTTATTTGAACATATAAACATTAGTACAAGGGGGCACCAAACACATATGCACCACACAATAACGATGAGGCCAGTAGTAGTTATCACTCATTTGTGTGAGGGTTGTGATAATGTCCGGGTGCCCAAACCGAGGCAGGTTGTTTTCTTAGGGGACCACGCCCGGAGGCTTCGATCTAAAGATCTAATCCACAAGGCAATGGAGCAATGTTAGGGAGCGCAGTCTCACGGTAGCCGGTGACCAACATTAGGTTCATACGCCATTTGTCCTCTCAAGGTCCCGGAGTCTATATGCATCATCGGTTCGGAATCAGGGTTTTCCAAATAACCTAGATGGACCCTCCGTATCGACCAGCCCGGTTAAAGCACCGGACATTCACTTTTCGTCCTCTCAATTTCGTAAACAACAGTAAAACCGAGAGAAGACAATGAGTAGGACTTCCCTGGTAGTGGCTGTATATGTAAGGCCATATGAGAGCATTTCTAGAGAGCTGAAACTCTCTACCCTCAACCGTACCAGGGTATTTGGGAGCTGAATCAAGTAGTAATATTAAACAGCAGAAATACAACTGGATGCATTTAACAAAGTATATATTAGGAAGAATCATATGAATCCCACAAATTTCTACTCTAGATCTTAGATCCTGAGTAAATAGAAATTTAATCGATTCGTAATTGTGTTCTAAACTATAGCATCAGTCAAGAGTTGAAACTATGACAACTGAATCGTACCAGCTCATAATAATGAAATATATCAATAATGATTGGTCACTGGCCAGCAATAGCTAACGTCAAGCTTGTCTACTGAAAGTAGAGTCCTGTCGATCAAATTGCAATAAGGTTTATAAGTATTAACGTTGCGATATCGCGTACACTATATTTTGATATCAATGGGTTGAAGACAATCGGCACGGTCCGTGTGATTTGCGACTCTTCAGCAAGACACGTCTGCAATATTGAGAGGAGTGATGTTCAAAACGTGAGATTCAAATGACAAATATGTCTAAGGTTTAGTTATGTTGACTTCATCTAACCATTTAGCATCAAAATACATATCTATCTTGAGGTAATGTATGAAGCTCAAGTGAACGCTATTGTTTGTATGGTGTTCTCTGAGTGAGACTGTTTAATTACGGGACTTTCATTGTCGTTCTGGATGAAATTAACTACCAATTATGTGTAATATCAGTTCTTTCTGAAACATTTGTTCCTGATCAATTATTTTGATAAATTTCGCTGTCTTCATTTGTTTTCCCTTTTATGGTGACTGGCTTGATTGGTTGACTTCTTACATATAGGTTATAAAAAAAACTGGAAAGCTCACTTTCACATGAAGTAGGCACTGATGATTTTGTTCAGAATAACAATGAAAGCCCAGCAATTTAACTTTCTAGGCCAGAGAAAACAACACCAACATACCTATCTAATGGATGTAGGCAAATAAAGCTTCTGAAGTACCTATTTCTTTGGTCCAAAAGTTCATAACTGGAAAATTAATCTAATGTTTAAAATACAGTATCAAAGTTACACACCCAAATCTCAAAGTAAAATAAGAAAAAAAACCGAGACAATAATTAAGCAAAGTCCACTAGTCACCGTGAAGTGAAAATTAATAATACTTACTAAGAGTCCAAGCAAAATAGAACTTTTGACGAAAACCAAAACACGCGATTGACAGGTAGATGAATTTTTGAAAGTAATTCTTTTTTGCAAAACTTTCAGCTGATGGGTAAAAAGAAAAGAAAATACGTATAGAAAAACTATAAATCACAATCATAATGTAAAATCAAGACGACAATTGCGAAAATACTTCAAGGACTCTGTTGTTTCATTAAATGCATAATATGTCACTCAAATCTATCATCACAGTTACTTGATTACACACTTTTAGGATCGACTATATGTGACATTAACTGGATGTAAACAAATTAGAACACAACGAAATGTGACACGATCGTACAAACATTGGGATTGTTTGAATAAATTCGCATGGACTTAACTTTCCTTAAACAAATAACTTCCTGAGAACTGAATTTTTCTGACTGTCATTTACATTATTTCACCATAAATACCTTCAAAGCATTGTTGTTCACATATAGTAAAGCAACAAAGTTACTAGATATAGTATGCTGTTTCATGAAGTACTGAATTTCTATTGACTGAAATGATGATGAAAAGTATTGGATACACTTAGGTACAACATATTCCGAAGTGTTAAGCTAGTTAGTGTAGGGAGTATGATTGGTAAACTATTTTCAACCTATTGAAAAATACTTTACTGTTTATTATCACCTGAATCAGTCGTAAAACAGAATGCAAAAATGTTATGACGGAGGTTAAGGACTTATCGTTAGTGACGTCAGGAAACAATATTTATAACATAATGTAACGAAATTGATACATATATATGAACTAGAAAGTGGCTTACACAGAAATTCCTCGGGTTTAAAACTATGAAAGGACCATAAGACTAATATAGAATGAAGTAGTAGAAGTTTCACCTGTTTCCATTTCTCTGCCTAAAGAAAAATAGGAACGAAAAGAAAAGTAATTTTTTTAATTAGAAAAAGAGAATGTAAATTTTCACATATTGGACATTAAATAAATCGCATCATACAGTTATTACCCAGACCACGGTTTTATATGATTTTTTAGGACAAGAGCTATCATAACAGCCAACACTAACCACTCAGTCATTATCAATGTAGTCTGTCACAAATGTCCGTTGGCCCATGTTGCCATATCACATTGTCAAGACGAGTTGAAAATAGCAAGATCAATGGCAAAAGAGGTCGAAATAATGTAGTGGTGATGATAGGGAGAAAAACTAAACATTGGTAATGTGGTTTGGAAAGAAAGTGGAAATGTAAGTATGAAGGGATACTGAAATTCATGATTGAGAGGATGAATATATTTTGCTATTTCATTCAAAGTACTGAGCCACTGTCTTTGTTCAACTGTCGGTGACTTTATGGGTTGGTTTCATGTCGTGGTTCGGACTGCCTATCCCTCTTCAAACTCTTAAACCGAAATTGCACTAGGTAATCAGTGGTTAGGTATACGTAACATCTATTGAGTGCACCTCAAATCATAAAGACTTTCAGTCTCACCAACCGACTACCCACCTTCGTCTAGTACCCTGTGCCCAACCTCAATGTTGCTTAAGCGATATATGAGTAATGTATTGAAGATAAATATGACCAAAAGCCTCCAACTTACACGTCTTCTAATTTTACAGCCACAGAGTAGTACAGAATGCAACGCTGCTCAATAAACCCGGGCTTCACTTATAAATAACATACTATACATAGTGGGTTGTTGGAAAGAAATTCGTGAAATATTTTAAAGCCACCGAAGCAAGTATTTTAAGATGACACTAACTGGATCATCGTCACTGTCCTCGAACATATATTTATGAACCTTTGCATACTGACGCACTGTACAACAGATAGATTTGATTGTCTTTGGAAAGTCTGGAAATCGGTGTGCGCTGCATATTGTCAAGTTAGACATCATTATTATGGAAAATGTAATCTTTATTATGTTCTTTAGAATTTCTGTTGTACGCGATAGATCATTGGTTAGTCTACTTTAGTTTCAATTAATAAAGAGCGTATTTGAACCGTGTACAAACTACTTTGGTTTAGAAAACTGAGTAGTAGTATCATTAGCTTTCATAGAAGTGCGACTCAAATCCGAGTATACATACTTATATTTGGCGAATGAATTGCACTATTTAATATATGCGGGGATCAAAGTTTGTGAGTTTACTTATTTATGTATTTCCATTAATTCATTGATTCTTCTGTACGATTATTCTTACTTTATCCCAAGTGACTGGGAACAATCTGTAAGAAGCTCTGGATATAAATTTCTGTTTATTCGGCACTTATAAGCAAGTTGTATCAGCAGTCTTGAAAGAACTAATAATTTTCATGAGACTCAATCTTACATCAATGAGTCACATTAGAAGACGTAATCACTGAAATAATCGGACTGTAAAACTAACCATATATAGAGTTGGCATGTGTAAAGTGATTAATTATCTACTTAGTAGTAACCAATATCATGTATTGTTTAGTACGTAACAATAATTGAATTCTATCGACATGAAATGTTTGATAAGAAAGGAAACGAATAGTTAGCACAATAAATCGATTTAATAAGTTTAAAGACATATAGAACGAATCAACTACTGTTATTTACTTCATGTTAAGTAAAAATAACGAGAGCGTAGAGAAAATTTTAAACAATAGACGAACTGCTTCAGTTTCGACGAATACTTATCAGGAGTGGTCAATCAGATAGATTTATTGACAGAAACTTAACACTAAAACTACAAATTGAAAGATCAACGGCAGTTCAATAGAAAATTAATTTTAAAATCCTTGAGGAAGACTTTGTACTCAGCTGAGCTTCGTATTGTCTTCATAACCCGGGCCACTATTCATGGATGTATTAAGAGTACACTTTCGTTTAGGGTCACAACGATGTTCATCTAGAAGCTTACTTGTTCTTGCGGAGCAGGTCACATAGGCTGCACGAAACCGACCCTTTATAAACACATTGCAGGATATTACTCGGTATGACTTTTAGGAGGGGAATTTAAAACACTGAATAGTTTAATACAGGAGAACCTCATCAACTTTGGCTACGTTGCCCCAAACAAATCTTTCTTCAAAATAATCTACATAATGGAAAGAATAAGATCAAAGGGAGGTCGGATTAAGAACTTACGTACTGGTGCGGCACTGGCAATTCACCAACTGATGCTTGAACTCTATTTAAAAGTAACATTTTCAACCATTTATACTTCCATGGCATTAATGTCATTTTCCAGTGTGCTTTAGTCTTGTTTATGTTTTGATTTCTATTTTGTACAATTCATAAACCGCAATCGGTTATTACTATCCTCTAATACTTTCTTATGACTATCATCCAATTGTTATTATGACCTTAGAGTTTTTCATTTTTCGTCATACATGTCAAGTGGACAACTATCTTTTATAATTCGAACCAGTAAATTATTTTCACATTGCTATCTGATGTAATCTCTTTTTATCTTCCTAAAGACAGATATTTAGCAAACAACTATAGACACGAATGTATAGTTTGAGTAAACGATTTCGTCTAGAAGATAATTCTCTTTACTGAATTCTTGCTATTTTTATTTAGTGATACAATGGATTGCCTTAATTTTTTCATAACTTAGTCTATTATACGGTAGACATGTTGAAACAAATAAAACTGTATGTAAAGTGGACAAATGTTCACAATCAACTTTACTATTAATAGCAGTGCCGTACTACATACTTTTTTCATGATAACTTAATTACAATGAAACAGTAATAGCTGGAACATTTTGCGCATACTTACTTTAGCGGAACGTATCGCCTCCTTGTTATCCTCCTAAATTTAGAAATACATATTAGGTGTTACAAATAAAATAGCACAACAAAACGTTAGGACACTAATAGTCAGCAAGTTTAACCCTAAAAATCTTGCAGAAACAGAATTCGAGAATCTCTAGGCAACACATTAAATATTTTACGGATTATACATGACTTAAATACGATAGAAGACTAGTAACTGCACACATTATCATACTTTATGTCTGTTAACTTGTTTAATGATATTTATCATTTCAATAGTAAACATTCAATGTACTGTATAAACATTTGAACACATTTTACTTTTTATTTCTATGTTATAGCTTACTGAAATGACTGATTGTAGGAATAATCAATTAGTGATATACACGACAAACTTCAAACCATAGTTGCTACCTTGATGTGGTCAGCAATGACTGCTGACATAATCTAATCGATCTAAATTGATTGGAACGCTAATCCGTTGATATTTGACCGCCTGCTACGCTAGCATAAATATTAGGCAAAATTGAACCTTTTAAACGATCCTATATGAAGTTATGGTTTATAATTTTTTGATGAATATTAAATACTTAAACTTGTACTTTTGTATTGCCGTACTTGCAAACTTTTGTTTGACACGCAAACTATAATTGCGTGTCATACATACTGCAAGTTACTGTTAATTTATCACAGACTTATCACTTAATTCTCTTCCATTTAGGGGACATTCATGAAAATATTTCAGTTTCTTGATTTAGTTGATATGTGCTCGGGATTTTGTTCTATATAAGTGTAAGTGATTCATAAATTTGAACTGCACAATTAGAAGCTATCTACTTGTCGAATTGTATTCTATTCAGGTCATCGGAGTGTTGGAAACTGTATTCTGGACCAATAAGTCACCTAGTGTTACTCTGAGCTCTTATCTCACATTTATCGTATCATTAGTTAGCCGAAGGTCATTGGTACTAGATAGCCTCAGAGAGCTAACCAGTACTCGGATTATATCAATGCAACTGCTCACTTGTCCTACGGTTCGATCTCATGGACCTCGAACAAACTAAACAATGAAATTTGTTTATTTTCTCAAACATCACTATCCCGAGCAAATTAATTGGATAGCAAGCAGCTACTTTGAGGAACGAGTGCAACAGTATACTACCATTACAACTGCGAAATGAAAGTAGTGAGATGTTCCCCGAGAATAACTGCAAATTCTGTCGATGTCACCTTCCTAAAATTTAAATGAGAGGAAACATAAAACATTGATACTAAAAACAACACACTGCTTTTCTCCACAGGATTTCCAGTTTGGAAAATAAGTCTTTTTGGGGTTTTCCGGAATCTGGCATATCAGAAACCACTTACAAAACGTCGTGGACCAATGACCTCAAGTAGCCATCCCTTAGGTACTGCAAACACGCTCCCAGGTGGACACGGCCTCTACTACTTACTCCCATTTTCCATGCAGATCATTGAAGAACCATCCTACTTACGACCTTGACAGAACTCGAGTTCATACAACTGCTATTTCTTAAAACTGTAAACTAATTACTCCGGGGATATCAATATTTACGTCCGACACTTTTGATTATTAACAGTAGTATAAAAATCTATTCTCTAACAGCAATGCTTAGTATTGATTTTTCTATGGATTACTATGTGACTAAAAGGCATAGATAAATTACATAGTAACTAACGGTTAGTGGAGAATATATTTCATTTGAAATTTAAATTAGGACAACTAATTACCCACATGTATAGTAATTACCTTTACTGTAAGCGCTGAAAACGTACTGTTACGGCGAGTATCAAATTTTAAAAGACTTAAAAAGTGGACATCCATTTCGGCTAATTAGATTTCCAATTACTAAACTAAATGAACATAAATGAAAGGCGACAACGCTTTGTAGAACTTACGAATCGCTTTTTATCAGTTTCATCGAGGAGCTGATCTGATTCTTGACCCTGGATAAATCTCATATAATCAGCAAAAAAACTGAAGGGGCCAATCATTACATTATGAAATGAGAATAAATATCCACCGAACTGGAGAAGACGAGGTCGACGTCTTAAGAAAATATGCAAAAAAATGCAAAAATATTGAATTCTGAAGAATAAAACAATTACTTTTATCACAAACCATTACTACATGGTTACAAACTGAATCAACATGTAATTATTGCATTAAAATCAACGTACTATCCCATACTTGTGGATAGTAGTACGCTTAATTACAGAAAATCTAATGTACCAAATCTATGTTGTTTCCAACAGTCTACGGAAACTAAAAAGGCAAAGATGACTATATATATATATATATATATATATATATATATATATATATTTCACCCTTGCTAAATTCTTTAAAAAAAGTAATGACACTATAGATTATATTTGGACTTGATTTTCCGAAATTTATCACGAAAACCTAATAATAAGGATCGTACATACTATTTACATAAACTTTAGGACGTAATAACTTATACTTTCAAAAAACATATCTATTACGTTCAGTCAAGCGGTAGAATAAAGTACACACAAGTTTCGCGCAAATTGACTGTGTTTGGATGTTTACTGTAACTACTCTAATGTCAGTGAAACTTTGGTTTAGAAAGACAAACACTCGATAAAAATCCACGACTCAGTACAAGAATGTACAAAGTGAGTTATTTATGCTTTGTATCGTACACCGTGCGAAGCGAATAGTAACAGTATACAAAGCGAATGTATTGATTAGTACACTGAACCATAAGATGCGTATTTTGATAGTCAATCTTTAATCATGCGTGGAACCAAGAAGGAAAAATTGCATGTTCCATGCTAAAAGAGATACTAAAGACACTGGATGGGCCTAAAGTCCTAAATATGGATTTTCGTAGGCTTTATCATAACTCTAAACTTCACAGTTAAATCATGGGCAACATATATTCAGTCTATAAGTTAGGAGTAACAAAATGATAAGTTAAGGCCTCCAAATGCCCTGGTACGGCCGAGAGTAAGGAAAGTCCGCTTACCCTCTTGAAATGCTCTCACATGGCCACGCGTATATAGCCTCTGACAGGGAAGTCTTACGCACTGCCTTTTCGTGGCGTGGGTGTTGTTTACGAAATTGAGAGGACGAAAAGTGAATGTTCGGTGCGTTAACCGGGTCGGTGGATATGGTGGATCTGTACAGGGTATGGAAAACTCTGATTCCAAACCATTGTTGCACGTGGGCTCCAGGATCCTGAGGGGTCGAATGGCGTATGAACCTATTGTTGGTCATTGACTACCACGGGACTGCATCTCCTTACGATGCTCCACCACCTTGTAGATTAGACCTACAGGCCGAAGGCTCTTGGTGTGGCCTCCTAAGAAAACCACCCGTTTCTGTTTGGGCACCCGGGCAGCATCACAGCCCTCGCACATGTGAAATGAGATCTGTGTGGCGCATATGTATTTGGTGCCTCCTTGTATCAATATCTATGTGTTAAAATAAATAAATAGAAACAAACTATAAGTGTCTAGAAAGATATCGACTAGAAAAATACACAACTTGATGTGGAATCGTTACTGAAGTCTCATGGTGGAAAATATGCTGACATTCGAACTTTTTTCTACCTAGTAGACCGAAGAACTAAGAAATTAGATGACTTTCTTATTGAGTAATCCAAGATGCATACACAAAAATAAAGGACATTTTCATTTGCAACCTGCATTAAAACCAATTTGACAATAGACTCACTCAACGGCATGAAGCTTGTGGTATTCTTGGTCAGCTACTCCTTTCTTCGACAACTTTACTCCATCATTGATGTTAAAAGCCAAAGAAGACAGCTTTTGAGTTTGCACCATTAGAGCCCTGGAAACAATCTATCAAAAGTAGCGACATACGCAGAGATATCAAGTTGAGGGTTATACATACATCTGTGAATATGTACTGAAGATAAATATGCCATTGAGAAGACTAAAATGCCATACTGAGCAACAGATGATGGAAGAAAAACCATCATTAAGTATGCCGGTAAGGCTTGAGCAAGCATATGAACAACTAGACTAAAAGTATTAAACCATTCAAAGGAAATTACGGTCCATAAACAAGATACATCATCAAAAATCCGCTGATAAACTCAAAAAAGTGACGGCGCTTGGAATTTTCTGTACATGGTGGTATGCATTTCTGCATTACACAGCCTGAAATTAGCGTGAAAAGTTGACATATCACGAATGTAAACTAAATTTCTTATGGTCATATTATGCAAAAATTACATGTTCCGCCTCAATGACAGAAAAGTATCGGAAAGCACTCATGAAAACAGGAAAACGCGAAAGACATAGAGCGCGGGTAAAGCAAACACAAAGTTTAGGTAATTTAGCTTCACTAAACGCATTCAAACGCCAACATTTTCAGATTCAGGTTTGTGTAGTAAGGATGAAAGGCATACAGCCTATGTTATTCCTTCTCTACTTTTTTACTGCAAGTGTCAGGTTTTCACTCAAATGAGTCAAACGAAAGTGCGGAAACCACTGCTTCGTGTACCAGGTTTCAAGAATTTATGACTCGGCGTGAGAACCTGTAAGCCACGGGTATTTTGTTCGTTCTTGCCTTTTACGCTCGCCTTCTATGTCTTTTAAGATGTACCGATCTAGAGAAATGGGAAAGAGAGTACATATTACGTCCAAAATCATTTCTTGTTATTCCATGCATCAAAATCAGATCACCTCATAAAGCTGTTTAAGCCGCCCGGAGTTCTGGAATTGCATGGGTAGCTGCTCTCTGTACGTTTTTTTCAGGATAAGTGAGTAACCTTTTAAACAGAGGCTTGTAGCCTGAACTCACCTTTCAAGCTTAGTTTTCACTAAGGTTGTGTATATTGTAGTGAACATGGTAGTATGTAACACAGTGAATGTTCGTCTTAAAGCCCAGAGGGTCCTAAACCAGTTAGCTGCGACCTCCCAGCAATGGCACTTCCCCTATACTGTATCTGTTAACCTTTGTATCTCCAAAGTGCATGCAGACACACTTAACCGTGTTAATAAGCATCAGCCACTCTTAAGACAACCAGTTTATTTAAGTCTGCCTGAAGAACACATGCGTCTGCGTCTCCAGTTATCACTCACCAGACTTTTACATCGTCAGAGCATAATAACATTGAAGACAGTACTATACTTTGGAGTTCATTTACGTGCAGTATAAAAAGTAAAGGATCTAGGACAGAACCTTGAGTTACTCCACTAAGCACTGGTGTCCATGTGAATTTATTCGAATTTACTATTACTTTCTGTCCACGACCTACTAACTAATATTTTCTAGCTTCAATAGCAGTCTATTTGTTGCCACATTGTCAAGTGCCTTACTGGAATCGATGTAGACGATATCCACTGAGTTTCGTTGTCTAGAACCTTTAACCCTTGATTCGTTGCTGTAAGGAGGTTTGCTGTGTAAGATAAACCCTTTCTGAAATCATGTTGTTCTCTGTTTGACGAGTTGTTGGTTCCCACAAACGTCATTATGGTCTTTTTGACTATTTTTACACGACACCACGACACTGGTGAGGCTGACAGGTCTGTAGTTCGATAGGAGTTGTCTTGGTCCTGTTTTATGTATGGGAGTAATGATTTCACCTTGGTGAAGTAACATATTGGATATCAGTTAGTGGGGTTGCAGTATATTGTGCAATTTTTCTCAGGATTTCGGAGTGCAGTTCATCCGGCCTTGTTGACTTTCCCATGTCCAATGTGCTAAGAGCCATAAATACACCATCTCGATCAAAGTCTACGGTGAACAGGCTATTTGTTCATTTCGTATTTGGGTTTAGTTCATTGTCCAGAATAGACTCCTGAGTAAAAACTGCCCCCGTAATAGTTTGCCATAGCCTTAACTTTTCCTGATTATCCTCTATCATTTGGGATCTACTCCCTTAATTAGGTTGGGAATTCAATTCTGCATCCTTGTTTTGTAATTTATGTACGATAATAGTCTCTTAGTCTGTTTGATTACGGATTGGGCCAACTGCATTTCATATTTTCTCTGAGCTCCTTGAATTTTAATTATAAACTTGTTTCCTACCGGCTTGTAGGGTTCCACCGTGCGTGCTGTGCCAAGGCTGATGACAATGTCCTAACATCTCTTCCTTTGTATTATTAAACATCGAAATTCCCGGACTATCCAGAGTTTTCCGTGCTTCTTCTTCTTTGAAACTTTCCAGGGTATATATGGTCGAGTTACTTGATAGCATAACTGCCTGAAGACAAACGTCCGAATAGTCAAAATGGTTTGGACGGAAGAGAAGAAGCTTCTGCTTAACGGGCTTTCGTATCTAATAGTAATGAGTTTCCGATGCGTCTATGTAAGAAGCTGGGTATATTTAGAAATAAGAGAGAAAAAATAGTGCATTATAGCGAGACACTGTTCTTATTCTCTGAGGATATGTCATGTTTTTGCCTAAAGGACTCCTGAAAAGCCTCTTGGACTATCTCAGGTGGCAGCAAAATGTTGAATTTCACGACACTTGAGAAGTAAAACGTATGCCTACAGTCCGTTCTGCAGTCATGTTTCCAAGTTCTGGTGTTGTAGTAGATGTTCAAGAGAATGCCCAGAACTGTCTAGGATGCAGCAAGTCAGTAGAAGATCACCTCTAAGACTCCTGTATTCAAAAGGGTAGAAATTCAGCGATTGGAGGCGCTCTTTAAAAGACTTGAATTTAATTCCCTGAACCGATATCCTGGCTCTCCATTGAATAAGTAAAAGATTGTCCTAACGCTTTTGCAGTGAGATGAAAACAAGCAAAAGAAAGGGGGCGGCGTTACAAACCAGCAAACATGATGATAGAGAGATAACTTCGATCAATTCATGTCTGTAGGGCAGAACGTTTTGTCAAATTACGGCTCCCTATGGTCACGTGGGATGTCACGAACCAATGGCATTGATGTTGGTTTATTATGAAAATACCTCTTCAAATCGTGTTTGTGACGATGAGTTGGTTTTTTTTCCTACCATGTAATCCTATTGCAATCAAAATTAGACAATTCACTAAAAACGAAGTCTCTTCAAGACCATATGAAACCTACAAAAATGGGCTCAAATAGCTTCGACAAAACGGGAGATAGCCATTTGGGCATCAGAATACTGTTTTCAGTACTATATTTTATAAGAATACATAATCCCATAATTTCAGCTTCTTTTGCCAGTTGTTTATCCACTCACACTTTACTGCAGCAATGTGGAAGACTGTCCCGGTCTCCCACATTGTACGAGTATTCCATGTACCTAAATAAATGGTCGCTCTGGTTGACAGAAGGGGAATCGGCCTCGTGACTTCCGAAGACCTTCTGACTCCCAGGGAAGAGTTTAAAAGGTTTGAATACTTTTTCCTGGTAAGCGTTTTTTAGCGAGTTAGTTTTCTACGGGATGGAGTCGCTAACCCCGTGCCTAAACCTCCTCCTTTATCAGTGCTTGGGACCGGCAGTAGCTCTCGGAGGGACTCCAGGCGGAGTTCACTCACACCTTGTTTACACTTATTTTCTTTAACCTACTAGAATGCTCTTGCTTAAAAAGTACCTTAATAATAGAATTTAAATTAAGTAGTCCTACCCTCATTATTTCACGGCAAATGACACAATTCCAATGTTCATGAACATTCTCTACTTCAAACTACTCAAAAACTTTACTCATTCAACATGTAAGATAGTTCTTTCCCGAGATTCACATCAATATGAACTTCGAAACAAAGTGTATACGGTCAAAGTTGAAAAATACAGATAAAAAACTCAGGAAAACTTCTTCCTCATCAAGTATGCAATTATATGGAACAGTATTCCCTCCAAAATGCGCATGGCAGATGAATTATATTCGTTTGTAAAACTGCTTGATCAAGCCATCGCTTGCACTGATCTAGCACGTAAGAAAACATCTGCGCCCCTCTCAGACATCATAGGCTCTCTCAATGTCTAGACCGAAATGAACTTCAAGTCCAGTTTGCCTTAGTTTTCCTACTTTGCAGTTGTATTAGTTAGTTTTTCCACCCCAATATTCTTCTAAATTACACAGGCCTGATTTATTATTATTATTCTATTATTATTATTCTATTATTATTACTTTTTTTATAATATGGCAAATATAATGCTAACATTATTGAAAATTGTGTATTATTGCATTTTTTGAAGAAACCCAGAATGGTTTCTTCACAACACTTATGTACCCATAAGATGTTTGTGAATAATAATAATAATAACTATCCTACAATATAACCCCTCTTATAGCCTATACTGGGATTGGCAAGCTATACTTTATACTATAGTCAAATAAAGCATTGCATCGATACCTTGCCCATTCTCCGTAATTCGTAACTGCCTGGTAAGCTTGTAAAGTGTTATTTATAGAAACAGTGTATTCCAACAAGATGTGAAGCACAGAGGATTATGTGAGGTATGATATATATTTCAGAAATAAGCTTAAATGAGCCTAACATCACAGAAGGATTGAGGGTGGAGTTACTGACCAGCGAGCATTGATGATGAGGGCGATGACTGCCATTCACCCGCGTATGTGGGGCAGAACATTTTGTATGAATCAGGCTCTTTATGACTGAAAATAAGTCAATCAATCTGTAATACAGATTGTCTTCCTACACTCACCACTCAGACTCATGTTTCCAATTTTATGCTGGATTAGCTATTCTGCTAAGACAACCCATAACGTGCTAACTCGGACTCTTGCATTAAGTCTATATGGCAGGCATCGGATGTGAAGAAAAAGAAGGTAAGACAATAAAAGACATGGTTATTGGTTTACGTAACACTACTCTCTATACGCACTCCCTGTTCTAGTAAACAGCGTTTCGTATTCCAACCCTGACTTCTTTTCCCTCATTTGAACTTACTGCACCTTGGTAGATATCACAACTCATTGTTCTTTATTACTACATTCTGTCATCAGAAGCCTCTGATCACATTTCACTCTAGCTGCAAGAGCTGGTATGAATTTATTCTGATAATTTATCATACATCTGTCTGTTCGACTACAAAATGTTAATTATTGTTTGTTGTTCATATCCATGTGCTCTGTTGCTCCTCAGTTTCTCTTTTTTTCAGAATCTTACTCTGAAGTCAGAGATATGGAACTTCTGACATGTAGAACAAACTAGACTTGCGTGTTTGTCCGAGGTCACAGTTCACACCAAGCGCTCTACACGTCTACTTTATAACAACTATGAACTTTAAAAGTTGCATTGCATAAATACTTAACACGACTAAAATCCTAACACAATTATGCCGTGAGTGAGTCTGATGTGTAATGTGGACGCGACGCCATTTTGGAGAATGTTCTGAAGATTACTCAATATCTCTGGAGGAATAAACTGATATTCACTTTTATAGACTATATTTATTTAACGTGCATACTGTGAAACAATAAATGTTGTAATTTGTAAATCACGCCTGTAGAAATGGCGTGTACCTGCCTTTGCAGAAATAAGTTATATTATATTACCTGAATTCTGGCCATAAATTTGTTATTCCTCTTTCCTGTTGAATAACAAACTTGGTCGATTTCATATTGCCTATTGACTGGTTTTTGACGATATTACCAAGCGTCCAAAAATGCTCTGGTTTTCTTTGTGTTTCGTCTAGACAGCTCAAGACAACAGAGCTGTATATTACTGGTCTACACATAACTTAGTCAAGCAGAGAGGACGATTTCAGTTGAGAGAATACGCATAATTATACACCAGCATTAATAGTAAGGTATAAGAATTTTTAAAAACTCTCTTTAGTAGAGTCCTGTTAAAGGATATATTATAATATCGTCGTAGTATCTGACCGAGAATCCCTGGCTCGTATTGCTCGCTATATGCAAAAAATCGGAGGATTTATTTATTTTTAAGAATGTCTTATCTCACAAAAATCCACTCCAGGTATTAGGAATTTAGAGACTCTTCAAAGTTACCAAACGGATATTTTTATCTAGTTATCTACTTTGTTATATTTAGGGCCATCTCAATATCCGCATTTATAACTTGTCTCCCTTGTTTCCAGTCAACCTAAATACAAAGGATAATGTCGGTGGAGCCGAGAAAAGAATTCCACAAGCATGTACAAGTTTTGCAGAACGGCGGAAAGCAAATTCTATGTCAATCGACGTCAAAGAGTTTTTAATATGTCTAAACGTCTTATCCAAGCAAAAATACATGATTATGTATGAAGTTTCAATTAGATTCCTTTGAATACAACAATAACTTAAACGTGACATCAACTTTTCAAATAACGAAAAACAGAGAAACCTATATTTAGTACAGAGATGTTTTGGACATGCTGATAACACCCATAGTTCTATTGTAACGTGTCTCCTTTGTCTTTTTATTAAAAAAGGGATAACGGTCGCTTCGGTGTAGTGCATTAGGTTGTATTAGGCTTTGTCAAACACATGACGTCTGAAAACTGGCAGGAATGCCAGGTTAAATCCATGATAAAAAGAAGACGATAAAGGAACTGTGCATTCTCCCGCAATTCAATCGATTGTGGTCAAGGCAACTTCAGAAGTGTTGTATTTAGGGCCAGCCTTGGGTAGCACTATGAATTCTGAGTAAGTAGAATGAGATTGTCTGTCACTATGACATGTTTGCAGCCTATATCGTCCGCTTCCCCTCTTTCCTCCATTTTTAGAACTGATAAATCCCTGAATTTTCTTGTACAAACAACATTTTAAATACTTAATCGCATCAGTTACTGAAAATAATTAGTAATACACTATATATGAGGTCTGTGTTTGTATAGACTACTTTATAAAGCGAACCCACCACTTACTTTTTCCCTTTAAACATGGTAAATTAAACTTTAAACAAGAGAAAGAAACGTTAATTTTATCTAATTGTTTCTCACTATTTGTTTAGAACCTCCTCTTTTTGCCTTCGTCGTAGCAATGAATCTGGAGAACTTTCAAAATATTTTCCTGATGACATGTTAGCTTCAAACATCCGACATCCTAAAGAAGTTACTGTTAGAGGTTAGTTTGCTGAGCCTTTTGACAAAATTTTATCAGTGTACAAGGCTGAGAATCTACGTGTTGCACCACGTTCTGATCATAAACAAAGTAGATTGACTACATAACTTGAAGTAATTTTTGTGACAGAAAAAGTTAGCCAGAAATGGAAATGCGTTGTTCTAGGTGGAAAAAAGAAAATTAGTACAGAGTGTATCTATGCACCGGATGGTAATCCTGTTTGGAACTTTGAAACTACATTGTAAGCCTCTAAATTTTTAATACACTGTGTAGTAAAATTGCAACTAGGGGTGATCCAGTTGTCCTCTTAGTTTCCGATTCTGAAGATAATCATGTCGGTCAGGTAGTTGTACCCGGAGTTACAATCCCGCCAAAACCGACAGATCCTTCTGTTAGTCTTACGGATAATTCCCGACTATGCATCATGGAGATGGAACAAACTAAAAAGACGGAGATTGGCTTTGGAAGACTTTATTTCTGGATTTGGGTGGAGGAGTACCGTAGCGAGGAATCTAAAAGCAGGAGCACCATGGGGTCGATTTTAAGCTTGTCGAGGTGAGCTCCCATTCGCTAATGGAATTGAATTTTATATGATAATCGTGCTTCGTGAATTGTGGTTTATTTGGTTCCTATTGTCAAACCTCATAGTGCGATGGGGTTTTAACTTTATTCGACACTCCTATTTTTGAGATCAAAATGGTTGATACTTTACTCTTTTTCATTGTCTTAATTTAAATAGACTAAAAACTTACTCTTTAGAAAATATAAGTATATTTCTCATGAAGAAACAGATAATTATTTGTCATACAAAGCCGGAAAAATGTTAGTTGCAACACGACTATGCAGCGATGAACGGTTCATGTTTGGCAAATTGTGAGGCCTTTTCTATTAAGTAAGTAGGGTTTGCGAGTTTTCTAGTTCTACAGGACTGTTTGGAGAACATTTTGTGTAGCTTAGGTGTTCTTTAGCACAAGCCATGAATTTACAAGAAGAATCTCTGATATGAAAACCCACCGCGGTCTATGCATCCTGACCTGCCGACAAGATTGTGTGTCGATCTGATACGCTTTACGTCACGTAAAGTAAAAAGTTTAATTTTGTACTTATTATTATTCACTTGTCTATTTACCACATGTTTATAGAGGCCAGTTCTGTTATTATTGGTTAGCATCCCTGATGTAGGTGGAGTACAAGTGTTTAATAAAGTTTAAAAGGTAGGTCTTTAAACTCAGGATGAATACCAAGAATTTGGAAGATAACTGCACGCAGCTAAGCAAAAAGTCAGGATTTTTAAAGTCACTACATTATATCGGCTTAATTTTCCGGTGTATAAATTTGTTGGAATGCGTTTTAGCGATGGTTTATAACTTTTGTTTTTAAACGCTATGTGATAGATTAGAATTTTTAAAAATTTGGTATGTTGGAAGACAATCATAGTTAATGAAATTTGTATTTATATTTACTTGCATAGTTATCACTGCTTTGACAGTTACATTTGACGAGAAGTTTTATCAACCTCAGAATTTAGTCACATGTAATGTAATAACTCTTATCAACTATAAGATAGCTAGCTGACTATATCATGACCAATGAATATTGATGTTCGCTTAAACTGGGTTTGTTCTGTGGCTTAATGTGTTTAACATAATGTTTCATTTTTTGCCAAACTAACATTCGTTCTCAATTCTGTGCGGATTTAATTTTTTTGAGTTCACCATGTGAAATCAAAAATAAATTGATTGGAAGAAAATTAGGAGAGATCAAACTAAGACACGACATTTAACCACGAAATCTATGAGCATTGGAATGACTCGTGATACTAAGTACATGTTACGTGGTTAGGATCCACGCCATAACCGCGACCAGTGATTAGCACTTCTGAGTAATATAGCTAATAATCTACCACAATTGCAAATGCACTCAGTCTTCATCCTCTTTTAGTTCCAAAGTGATAGCATTCCTCCATAAACATCAAATCCTTTCTCAAACCATATTTCCAATACTTATTTCTCCGACTGTTGCTACTATTAAAATTATTTTGAATTCCTTTCAGTTCATCTTTTCAGTTTTATCACCTCATTTTGATTTTGATATGCTGACTTGGGGTGACATATACTGGTGCTCGACTTTACATTAACCACTACTGACTATCTACATTGAATTAATTGTTAGCTCTTGAAATTGTCTAATTCTTATGTCGTATGAAAAGTCAATGCAGTTTCTATATTTCGCTGTCGAGCAAGTTTTGAAAAAATGGTAATAAACGAGCTGTAATGGGTTTTAAATTATTATTGTTACTAATGCTTCTTTATTTTTAGCTTACATCTTCATAAAGACAAAGGTTCAACACCAAACTCATTAAATTATAGTGGAAGTGTTATAAGTTTATCGTCAAATAATGATGAGCACAAGAAAAAGAAACGGTGGTATAAGAAAGTAGCCAATCATGCATTACATGTGCCTGCTCCAATTCGACAATCACGTTCACCTTCCAACTCACTGTTGAATACAAAGCCGATGAATAATGGTTACAATCCATTTGGTATGCAGCCTCTTTATCTTGTTTTAAATATATCTGTAAATATTTTTAAACCAGGTTAATTTTATTAATTAATCTAAAAAATTGATAAAATCAGTTGTACTGTTTATGTAATTCTCATTGCTTTGACTAACTTGTCTGGTAGTTTATTTTAATGTTGTTAGAATATGAGTGCTGATCTATAGATGATGCAAAATAGCAGAATGTGGTTAACTAACAAACGTTCATGAGATCGATTTATTCATAAGATCTGTCAAATAAACTGGTATCAGAAGACAAGTAGCTGTCAATCAACGTTTCAAGTGAAACGACCCACATATTTACTTATATACTTATGTATGCAAACGAAACAACCAAAAATAACTAAAAGTTGTTTGAAACACACACGTTTGTAAGATTTGTTCTAGGTCATTCACCATTTAATAAGACATCCAGCGCATCAGCAACCTCTGCAGCAAGTGAACATTTTCACGTACCTGGTTAGCCTCATCGATGGAGAAGGAGGATCTGATGCAGATGTGAAGGCACTGATTAAAAAGTTTGTGAAGTATCCCTACAAATGAAGAACATATGGAACTAAAAACAAGTGTTAACCAATATCAACGTCGAAATCCTTAATATGAACATCAAGACAGTTCTACAGTATGAAGCTGAAATATGGAGAACTTCTGCAAACATCATCAAGAAGGTACAAATATTTATAAACAATTGTCTACGCAAGATACTCAATGTCCGTTGACAGGTTATCATCAGCAACAGCCTACTATGGGAAAGAACAGGCCAGCTTCCAGCTGGGGAGACAATTAGGAAAAGGCGGTGAAAGTGGATAAGACATACATTAAGAAAATAATAAAACTGCATCACGAAACAAGCTTTAACTCGGAATCCTGAAGGGAAATGGAAAAGTGGAAGACAAATGAACACACTGTTTCGGGAACCGGAAGCAGACATCAAAAGAATAAACAACAACTGGAAAAAACTGGAAAGGCAGAGAACTGAGTTAGTTGAAGAATTCTGTTTGGTGGTCTATGCTCCTCCTCGATGATTTTATTGGAGTTTTGTTATCTGAGCTGGATGGCTCGCTCATGGCGATTTCATCGTTCTTCTGAACGACATCATCAGCACAAACTTCAGGTAGAAATGAAGTGTTCGAATTTCTCCACATACGGCTCACAGCTTGCTCTGTAAACCTCGATGTTGATTAGTTCTTGTTGACCTTTAACCTGTTGTTGTTTACTTCTTTATTTTGTTTGTATCTCCTATTGATTTGATGTTTGGTCCTATATTTGTCCGTAATTTTTCTGATCAGTTGATCGGTTTAACTTCTGTCTGAAGTTTGTGCTACTGATGCCGTTCAGAATAACGATGAAAGCTCCACGACCAAACCATCCGACTCAGAGAATAAAACTCCAATAAAATCATCTACCAAGGCTACAAAGCTTCTCTGAATTTACTTAGTGAAGACTGCATACAGTAGTGTTGAGTAAAGCATTGCCCATTCCTATCCGATATGACGTGATCCAGCCTGTGTATAGTCTGTTGTTCGAGTATCCAGCCTCGTGGTAACGGAATCTAGATCCACGGCCCTATTATCGAGTGGTAGAAATATATCCAAGCCTCAATAATACTTCGAAATTTAACTAGAGCTCGTAAAGAGCAAACCTGATGAAATCAAGCCGTTTGCAGACGTGAACATGGATGTATAGGCCGAATATTCACCCTTCAGCAGATTCTGAAATACAGACATGCTTTTCAACATCTTACTATAGTCTTATTTCTTGACCTAAAGGTGGCGTTTTACTTCGTCGATCATGAGGTTCTGTGGCAATGTTTGTCATTGAAAGGCGTACCAAAGAAGTACATTAATCTTGTACAACCTCTCTACTCAAACGCTACTGGTCGATTGAGAGCAGTTTGCTTCGTCCTACTTTATAGATGTGAAAAATCAAGAGTAGAGGATATTCGTAAGCTTCTAGTACTCGATCATAACTGTCTACGAAGCATCGCTCGTGCATTTTTGGACCAAAGGGTAAACAATGCCTGGGTGAAAAATAGATTATTAGGTAATGACGGGAAACCACCTGGTGAGGTGGTAAATCTTCTTCAACTGAGGTAGTTAAGACACGTGCTACGTATGCCCAACCACCGTCTACCTCGACGGGACGATGTTTTCTAGTCCAGTGGTAGTATGTAAGAAATCCTGGGGTGGCCAAACCAATACATGACATCAATCCATGAAGTCACTGACAATTGGACTTGACTCTGTTAATAAGTGTAGACTGCTTGGTTGATTATTGTGACTAGTGGTTAGAGACTTTGAATGAAATGGCTAAAAGTCGTTTGGAATAGAGCAGGCGCATCCATTTTTTGTCTTCTCGTAAGTCCTGAGATTGTAAATTCCTTATAATTTTTTCTGTTTTTATTTCACTAATTTAAATACTATTTTCAAGTCGTGAATTCGATGCCTCATGTTTTCTAATACCACTGATACTGTTAGTTGTCTACCATTCTGTGATTTGGTGTGCTAACATGTGTGGCAATCGGAACCGATGTACATACGTTGTGACTGAATGTTTGAATATATATCGTGGGATCAAAAGAAATATTGACATTCATCTGTTATATCATAAATCTAGTCTATCAAATCATTGAAAAGCACTCTTTCCATAACATTTACAGTAATACATAAACAGTTATTACATATGTAGATTAATTAATATCACATTTATTTTTATTACTATTATTATTATTTAATTAAAGATTATTATCAACAGAATTTAAATGATGAAGATGGAGTCATTGAAGAAAAGGATGGAAGTGTACTTGGAGCTTATAGTGAATTAACAGGTAGTAATTTTAAATTCATTAATTTATCATACTATTATGGTTGCTTTTACTTCGTCTACACGTATGGGACGTTAATTTGCGTTAGACGAATATCTACACTAGATTCCCTTCCCAGTGTCTATTCTATAGGACTTTAATAGAACTCAAATGATCAAGAAAAGGTAATTAACCTGACTAGAATGTAAATATATTTCCACACCGAAAACCCAATACAATCCAACAACAATGAACAATCAGTCAATAATAAGTAATGAGGATAGAGGAATATATAACTCATCAGACTATTTACATGTCTGACTAAGCAACTAACCAATCATTATTATTCTCACCTAAACATCATATCATTTTACTCATTTTTTTTTTCTAATGAAAAAATTAGCTAATTCATTATCATCCTCATCAGCATTTGCTACAAATCAATTAAAACGCCGAAATTCAATGCATCCAAGTAAAAGAAGTGGATCAATTGCTTCAAATATTGATATTAGTATGAAAGATCCAGATGAACATTTAAAAAATAAACCGGAATTATTAAGAATAGCACCAAAATGTGGTCCATCTTCAGGTAAGAATTAGTGAAGTTATTATTTTGTATTATGTTTTGTTTAAGTGTTTCATGTATATTTCATAACTTTTCAGTTATTTCATATTTAACACTTTTTTTTAACAATATACTTCGGTATTTATATGTGTTTAATTTACTTATGAGCAGCCCCCGAATGCCCTGGTATGGCCGAGAATGGGTAGAGTCAGCTCTCCCTCTCGATGTGCTCTCACATAGGTACGCGTATACAGCCACTGCCAGGGAAGTCCTACTCACTAGCTACTCGTGGTGGGGGTGTTGTTTACGAAATCGAGAGGACGAAAACAGAATGTGTGGCGCTGTAAACGGGTTGGTGGACACGGAAAGTCCACCTAGGGAAGTTGGAAAACCCTGATTCCAAATCAATGGTGTACATGGCCTCCAGTACCCTAAAGGAACAAATGGCGTATGTACCTGTTGCTAGTCTCTGGTTACCATGGGACCACATCTCCTAAGGGTGGTCTACTACCTTGTGGATTAGACCTTTAGGCCAAAGGCTCGGAGTATGGCTTCCTAAGAAAACCACCTGCTTCGGTTTGGGTAACTGGGCAGTATCCCAGCCCTTACATAAATCAAATGATTTATGTAGCGCATATGTATTTGGTACCTCCTTGTACCAATGTTTATGTGTTTAAATAAATAAAATAAACTTATGAGCATGATTTACAATTTACTTAAATCGTCCAATTTTGTTCACTGCAAGTAATGAATGTGATTAATGACGTAACGGACCAGATGTGCTCATATCTATATGAATTTCAATATGATGTGGGGTAATTGTAAAGCTTAGTGCCTACCTTGATAACATAATGTTAACTGGAATGGAATAAATTTAACAAAAACTTGGTATAGGCAAGGAACAACGTCGTACTAATTCATGAAGTTATTGATTCCTTGTCTGAATCACATCCAGAGTTGTTATAACTCATTCAATTTCTTTACTGTTTTTAAGGTTAAGAATTCATACTGAGTAATCACAGAATGTAATTTATCAAAGATGTTTGCTTTTTGCAGTAACATCATTTTTAGTCAGTATAATCGCATTTATCAAATATTACTAGTGATGATAACCAAAAATATAACTCGACCTTTGTGATCAAAATTCATTTCTTTAGTGATAGTAAATTATGTGATATCCAAGATAGTTTTGATCAGTAATTTGATAAGGATGTATTAAAAAACAGGTTCGGTAATATATTTCAGTGATTATCTTGATTCTTCTTTGACTACAGGGTAGTACTGTATGTATTTAAACGACCAAATGACTGTAAATTATTAAAGTAGTGCAACTTTGCTATAGAATTATGTAATGACACTGTTGACCTGTGAGTATATGACAAAACTCATAGAATTGAACTAACCTAAATAAATTATAGCTGTGTACTTATTAACGATGGGTTACGAGATTGATTTCCCGATAATCTCATGTGAAGCTCTTACCACCAATAGAGTCAGCCAGTAAGTCATTGTTAACGTAGAAAACAAATATGTCAGTCCAATACACCACAAGTTAAATCAATATAATAAGAGAAGAAACCAATATGATGAGAAGCAAAGGAAAGGAACTAACTGTAGTTGTAATAGAGATTTAAATATATAAGATGCAGTTCAAAAGAAAGAAATGAGATCAAAGAATGAAGAGTCAGGAACGATACTCACTATTTAAAGGAAAGAAGAGAATATCTGCATTTGTACTACAACAATCAATTTGTTCTTTCTCACTCCACTTCTTAAACCATTGACTATGAGTAATCCGTGGATCTTAACCAGCAAGTTTGCACTTACCAATATATAACAGATCAGCAGTCAATGACTTCATGGATTGATTTCATGTCTTTATTTACCTACCAGATGACACTAAATGATAGTTAGGCTATATCGTTAATTAATTGAAGCTTAGAATGCCAAATACTGGGTCCCGATTTAGTGATTTAAGGACAATGTACTTATTATGAAACCTTATTTTGTTTGGTTTAAACCCAGGCAACGTATCATACAGTCTTAAACTAGAACAAAACAGTTATTTATTGTTTCACATTTTTTAATGATTCCTTAGTTGATGTAAGTCTGTGATAAAGAACTACCTTAGGAGTTTGAAGGTTAATTTAATGTACGCGAACCTGTAATTTCAATAAGTGATCCATAGATACTTAGACCATTGAAATCCTATTCTCTATGAAGCAAACTGACTATAATTTTAAGCATCTGGTTCACATCACCCTTTTTGTTCTTTGATAAATGATAATCATAGATTTTTTTATTACGATTATGTTATAAAATTACTTTAAATATTCCAGAACTATCACCCTAAGCAATTATAAAAACCTTGTTAAAATTGTAGTTCCTAACTTCACCTAAATCTCAAACAACTTATTCATTTGAATAAGATGAGGGAAACAAGATTTACAGAATAACATGAATTCATTGTAGTTTAAGGCTCTTAATCAACTGCGAACGTCATAAACATACGTTTGTAATATTATCTAACGTTGAATTCATGAGTCAAGTAAAGCTAGACTACCATTGAAAACTTGGAAATACTGGACTGATGTCTCGTCTTAGAAAAGGACTTCTCAGCCGTGCCCATCCACTATCCCTCACACGGGATTCGATCCCAAGACTTTCGGTCTCGCGCGCGAACACTTGACCTCTAGACCACTGAGCTGGCATCCAACAGTGTTAATGTCTAACTTGTATCAATCTATGGTTATGTGCAACGCTCCATCCATTATCTGAGGTGAATAACTGTCTCACACCAGACACGGATTGGACTCCATTGGTTATGGATTCTTACCAGAAGTCAAGGATATCCATCTTGAAGTTAGTCACTAGTGAGCAGAATGGGGATTTGTGGAAATCGACTAATGAATTCAACTTTAAACATACTTCAATCTCCATAAATAAACATTGTAATTAATGAAGTTTAATTAGAAACAACCTAGGAAATACAGAGAACAAATAGCATATTTAACATAATTGTTAAAACTGATTAGTATTTGTTTGTTAAAGATGAGGTCATAACAAGAAAGGGTTAGACTTATAAATAATAATAAAGAGTTGGTGAATAACCCTCCCCCCCCTCAAAATAAAACAAACAACAAATTGTTTACAAATGAGCTATTATCATAGTATCTAATGCGAAATCTTGAACTAAAATGAAATTTTATTATTCTAGTTTTTGATTGAGATCATGAACCGATTAATGTTAGACCATCACAATTGAAAACCTGGAAGCACTGGACGGCCGTTTCGTCCTATTGTGGGACTCCTCAGCAGTGCGCATCCACGATCCCGCGAGCGGGATTCGAACCCAGGGCCTTCGGTCTCGCGCGCGAACGCTTAACCAACTGGACCACTGATATAAAAAAAATTATTAAAAGATCAAGATGTATGAAATTTATTGATTATTGAATGATAATCACTGAGATGGTGGGGAAAAATTTGTAGCTACGATGGATGATTTTGATGGAGTTTTATTCTCTAAGCTAAATGAACCAAACCATCCAGCTCAGAGAATAAAACTCCATCGAAATGAATGATAATCTATTTTTCACATTCAAAATGATGTTGAAAATTGGAAATAATTTAATTTAATTTAATTAACTTGTATGTAAATGTAGAGAAACCATTCATGAAATGTAATGAATTCATTGTATTCTGTAAATATATGATCATTATTTGGAATAGTAATTTTTGAGAAACAAAAATCAATGATACAACTTTCAACACGTCAGCCTGTTTGAATATCTGGGATACCTGTTTCTGCCATCTAGCTATTTCAACAAATTATCTACTTTTGTTTGCATTAGCACATCATTGTGTCTATTAAGCCCATAATCTATTCAAGCGTGTCTGTGAAAAGTTTATGATATTTCGCTGTACAGGTTACAAAAAGGTACAGTCAGGGACATCATGGTGGCTGGCAATTATGCATTGTAAAGAATGTGCATTATTCATAGGTCGATTACATAATTGCTAATATCTAGGTGGCGACTATTAAATATTTATCTCCAGGATTGATCAAGAAATAAGAAAAGGAAACTTGTTGAACTATTTTGTACTGAGAATCCTATATTATACCAAAAATATAATATTGAATAAAGCCACTAATAATAGTAGTAATGTTACAGAAATATTTTGCAATCAAAGTTATTGAAACCATAATAATGACCTACTATAATAAATAAACTTAATACATCTCACTAATTAGTTGATTCTCATACTAAGAAAATGGAATAGTTTGATACGTTATCCATTTGACACTAGTCAGTTAATTGTAAAAAAAGTGTAGAATGTAACACATAAATAAGATGGTAGTTGGAGGTAATCAACAGGAAACCCTAGACCTAGGTTTCGTGCTACTTGGCACTCGTCAGCAAGATATACCTGTAATCTTGAGGGAACTGATGCTTCCTGACGGATTCGATCCTGTGTCACCCACATTGAAACTTGGTCGATAGAATTTGATTCGCACTAAGAAGGACCTAACATACATGACATTGATCACTGCCCAGTGACCAATCAATTGTAACACATAAATGTATTCATCCAAGTTACCAAACTACATTAGCACAGCTTGATGGTTATCTTGTCTTCAAACAGATTTCAGTTTCGTGTGTAACCTTCGGATTAGGTATAATTAAGTAGTTTGTAATGTTTCTCTTTCACAATTGTAAAATATGACTCCTTAAGATGGATAATATGCCAAGACTAAAAGAGTGCAAACAATTCTGAAGTCTCTTTAAATTAGAAAAAGGATTTTACTTAAGAAAATCGATAAGATGGGTTCAGAGTATTTAACCGTGTATCATACATACGCACTTACTACATATCTCGCTGTTAAATTTTGACTGAATTAGGTAATACCTTTAATATACTCAAATAAAGATGAGACAAGTAACAATTAATTGTTTGTTGATCTGACTTTGAGTTTATAATTTTTTCTGACTTTTACTGTCTCTCCTGTCTAAATGTGTGACAACGTATGTTAATGTACTGTTTTTAGGCGTTCTAAATTCGCTAGTCTCTTTGATCTCTCTTGAATGTGTTTTTCATGAAGTGATTTATTTCTAATAAAAAAACTGCTGTAATTTGCTTTCTATTTCCTAGGTGGTACTGAGTTAACAATTTATTGCCGTTTCCTCACGACTGAAATAATGAAGCGATCTACCGTTTTTGTTGGTGACCATCCAGTTTCTAGAGATGATTGGTTTTTGGATGAGTCAAGTCAATCTGATCTATCGCAGTTACGTATCCATATGCCTTCGTTACAGCCTGGACGTTATTCTATTTATATTGATAGTGTGGAATTTGGACGCGTTCTTTGTAACCAAGAGTTTACCTACCTTCATTCGGACGTAAATTTAATCCAATCACCTAGAAGTAGCTTACCTGGTAAGTATATTTTGGATAAATATAGTTGAATATAACATAAGGAGACTATTTCATCTTAGTGTAAAACCCTTCAATGAATTCATCAAAACTAAAAGTATGAACTTAAAGATGTCGAAGCAGTGGTAAAAATGTATCATCAATGAGATGAAAACTAGGAGATCTGGTTTTAATCACATGTACAATCGATGGTACGCACCACTAAGCAGAATAAAATAGCTGTTGAACGTTTCTTAGTTCTTATTGATTCTCTGGCTGAAGTCAGTTTGTGATGTAGGTTATCTTTAGATCCTCCCTCGAGGTAACCAATAACATAAGTATCTACTATCGGGACAAACATAGCATTAGTTAATACCGGTGGATAAACTACTGTGAACGTGAATGTGATTGGTATTTTTTTATTATTATTATTATTATTATTATTATTATTATTAGCTTTATTCAATATTATATTTTTGGTACAATATAGAATTCTCACCGTAAAGTATTTCAACAAGTTTCCGTTTCTTTCTTCTTGGTCGGTCCTGGCGATAAATATTGAGTGATCGCCAGTTAGATGTTAGCAGTTCACTAAATGAACATCTGAATAATGTGCATTCTTTCCGTTGTATATTGCCAGCAACCACATTGTCTCTTATTGAGTTTTTTGTAACTTTGACAACGAAAGGTTGTACACTTTTCAGAAACGCAGCAGAATAAGTTATGCGATTAATAAACATAATGATATATTAAAACAAACAAAAATAGATAACTTGTTGAAATATCTAGATGGCAGGAACAGGTAGCCCAGATGATCAAACAGGCCGCCCTTGCCAAATCTCACAGATATAGATATAATCCTTTGGTTCACTATGTTGGCCTGGAAAATGTTCGATCAAATAATATCATCAGCAGAATAAATAAACCCTCTTTATGAATTTCTGTATATAACTGATTAAAACTCAATGCATCGCAATGCATATTTGTATAAACGACGCTAGGCTTTACATTTTACATAAAGCTGGTGATAACACTTGACTACCGAAACTTAAAGTAAACAGAACTGTGTTTAAACTTTCAAATTCAATAGTCATAAATTAAGTGCTTACAGTACAATATGATGATGGTTAGCTAAATTTGGAACTAAGATACTAGTTCGAATCCCACTACTCTGACATTGGTCTAAACACGAAGGTTGATATCACAAGTCCTTACAAAAAGATGTTACTCATAGCCGAAGGTATTGACCTGTACTTGATAAATGAGTTGAAAAAAATGGTTACAAGACTAGCTTTCACCGAATAGTCTATAAATGAAAGATTAATTCGATTCTGAAAGGTTACAATTCTTCATATATACATCAGTACTGATAAGTGTACAGCTTTTAATACTGTCTTTTTTCTAACTATCAGGAAGTTTTAGTTAATTTGATGTTAATAATAAATAAATAAAAACATGATCCGTTCAAAGGTGGATTTAATTGAGATAAGTTTATTGACTTAATTGATTAATGAACATTCAAATTACGGTGTTTATTTGTTGATTATGTAATAACACCGATTAACTAAATCAGCATTTTTCCGTTCGTTTTTCATAGTGTTTCATATAAATATAATATATTCAGAATAAGAATTTGAAATCTGGTATATTCTCCAATATTTCATGTTCGTTATAAGTAATTCATAGGAAATACTAGTTGTTTGTTTAAAGTTTTATGTTATTCATTGCCAAGATGTAAATGTACTCATAAAGTATTCATGGTCTAGCTTCAATTGACTCATGATTGCAACTATTAAAATTAATATTATATCCACAAAAACCTCTTCTGATAATAATCAACATATGCTCACTAGTGACTGGCTTCATGAGGTATTTCCTGGAGTTCTAGAGAGAAGCAGTGATCAGTAATGTTGAACCGGGTCTGTCGTGAAATAGTAATTCACTGATGACAATGGTAGATGTGTCGCTCAATTTCGTGGATTGGTTGACGTCAGACATTAACACCATTGGATGCCGACCGGCTCAGTGGTCTAGAGGTAAGTTCTGGGTTCGAATCTCGTGAGGCGGGATCGTGGATGTGTACTGCTGAGGAGTTCCACAATAGGACAAAACGATCATCCAGTGCTTCCAGGTTGTTCATTGTGGTCTAGGTTTGATTGACTCATGATCTCAACTATTAAAATTACTACAATATCCACAAAAACCCGATCTGGCATTAATACTCGCCAAAGTTGGATAGAACAAAAATATACATTATCCTTAATTGTTCATTGTTCTTCAATCGATATAGATGCATGGGAAAAAATTATTCTATCTTGGTATCCTTTAACCACTGTAATAATGGCTATATAATTAATGTTATCTTGAGTCATTTATGTTCTTTGTAATAATTTTCACGGTAAATATCATCTTTTAAAAGTATGGATTTTAGAAAATGGAAACAAAACAAATGTTGTTTTCAATGACTTATGTAGATTTTCCTAACATTAAACGAATGACATCATTGGAAAAGTTATTAAAAACTAGGAAGTATTAAACGGTTGTTTTGTAATATCAACTTTTCTAAAAAGTCAGATACCCTAGAATACAACTCCTTTAAAATGGGAACCCAAGATCTCTCTACGGGGTCGAAACCACGAACTTTAGGTCTTCTATCAAGTCGTTGATCACTAAGCCATTGGATTACTATTCCCATGATACAACTAACAACAATATTTAGTGTCGTTTGGTACCTCAGCTGTGGTCTATCTGTTAGAAATATCGTCTACAAATATTATAACTTATAGTCTGGTTAGGTTTTTCAGAAGTTGCAAAAACTATTCTAGCATAAATTACAATAATGCTTGAACTATAGTCACTTTCATAGAATTTAAAATGTTTAAATTTTCATGTATCCATGATTGAGTTTAACTCACAGGTTAGTGATTAGATTAATAATAACATGACATTATTATCCCGTTGCTATTATTGAAGGCTAGATTCGATCAGTTTGTGTTGGTTAATATGTATACTGAACAGTTATCACTATCCTGCCTATAGATATGTTTTACAGAATTTTTGAATTTTGACTATCAGTAGAATTCGAGTTGTGCGTTTTGTCTTACTTGGAACTTGTCATATGAGTGCAGCTCCTCAGTCTTGATAATCATATTAAACGTCCTCCACTATAACATCTATTCAAAAGGGGTAAAGTGAATATGGAGCTATCAGTTATCATATTAATCGAACAATAAATCAATAGGTAAACAATATGACTGATAGTGATAAAAATGAAAGATGTCTTTTGTTGGAGTTTCGTTTTCTGAGTTGAACACATTGATCGTGAACACTTCTTTATTCTTCTGAATAACATCATCAGCTTAATCGTCAAGTAGAAGTGAGGATACCTTGATTAGGGAATTTTAACGAGAATAAGCCATAAATTTAAGTTTACAAAAAGAAAACAACGAAGTATCAAGTAAGTAAGCAGCCGATTTTTTGGAGGTTTCAAAAATCCAAAACATTACCGGGTTGAGTCATACGATATTTTTCTATTACAGGAAGCATCTGTTTTATTCAGATTAATTCATAAATAGTTTGATGGATGTCTCAGGAAATTAACACAAATAAACTGCCCAGCTTTTGACTATTGCATATCCATCGTTCAACACAATCTATCGCAATGTTTAACTTCGGTAGTCAATTCATTAATTACGCTTCGTTAGTTGTAGTCGTTTAAAAAGTCTCGACCAACAATAAATACAAGAACTCATGCATAACTGACTCTCTTTAACATACACAATATTTTCAATGTACACTTCTCATTTTGTAGTTGTATATATGTGTATTTATTTACTTGTTTGTTTCCTTATCACCAAGCACTATGCAAATTTATATCTTTGTCAGTTGATTATCACTATTCTATAACTTGTATATAGTTTATAATAAAGTAGACGTTTTTATGCAAAATCACTTATGCATATTCAATAAATAAGATCTAGTATTTTCTCACTGCTCATAAAACCAAAGTGATTGGTTAAAACATATATATATATATATATATATGTTTGGCGGAAGAAAGGTATCCAACATTATCACCGACTTCAACCATCTTTTACAATAAACAAATGATTATCGATTATCGTTGTTAATATGCATTAAAGAGATATTTTAACGAGTTTTTATGATTAAATACAAGAAATTTTATTGTGAAATCATATAAATTTCTAAGGTCATATTAGTAAGTTGAAATATTGTTGATTTATTATCGATTTCTCCTTCCTTCTCTTGTTCTTTTAAGTAATATTAAATATTAAAAGTAATTTCAATGGTTAAGATCATAAGTAAGTTGAAGCTATTTTAATTGGAAAACCTAGAAGCACTGGGCGGCCGTTTCATCCTATTGTGGGACTTCTCAGCAGTGCGCATCCACGACCTCGCCCCCTGCGAGATTCGAGCTTCAACTGACTCATGATCTTGATCATTGTAATACTAAATAGTTGAATTCATGAGTCGATTAAAGTTTGACCACCATGAAAAATCTGGACGCACTGAACGACCGTTTTGTTCTAGTATGGGACTTCTTAGTAGTGCGCATCCATGATCCCGCTTTAATTGACTGATGAATTCAACGATTAAATTACTAAAATCTTCACAGAACCCCCTTTCTGATAACAGTAAATAATTTAGAGAAAAAATGTATATATAAAAGTTTTTCAGGTGAAGACTTTGTTGATGTTGCATTCTTTAAGGTGATAAGTTTTCTGAACAAAATTTTAATTGTAAAGCTTTAATTACTGTTCTAGAGGTATATTACTGGCTAGCGCAGAGAAGTTCAAAATGGGACGAAGCGCACGTCCTGGGTTCCACTGCTAGCCAGCCACCTTCCATCTTTGCTTGTATTGAAGTAAGTTGTTAAATAGCTAAGGGATAGCATGCTAAAATGTAACACTAATGTATGGAATCTATTGACTGTTTTTCTAAGTCATTTTAAGCAATGCAAATTATATACAAATATGCAGTTTATAAAAGAAAACAATTTTAGAAATTGCTATAAGTTACTGTAATCATCAAGATAGCTACGATGTTTATTAGTGAAATAATAAAGTCATCCACCCAGCCAGTCATCTATAGATAACATAGAACCTGGCCCTTAAGTAAATTGACACATAAAATTAACACAATAGGAGAAAATAATCAAGAAAATAACATGCATATAAAGTCAATATTAGTCAGATAATGAAAGTAATATTGAATAAGAATTACTGACTAGTAAGGATTGTGTATTTACAATCAAAATCAATCCACCGGACACTATATAATCCAGATTTTTTTTAAAAAACAGTCTTTATTCATAACATAAATGTTAAAGATTGGTCACAAATTAAGGGGTTCCCCCCCCCCAAGTGATCTCCACCATTGATGACATTATCTTGTAGCATTATGTCAGGATATCTGACTTTGACAAAAGCATTACTATTTATCAGTTTCATTAATTTCTTCTTCTTCTTCTTCTTCTCCATATTATGCAGACTTGTTAACTCTTCCGTTTAAACTTCTTGTTTACATGGCTTCTGAACATTGATATCAATAAATTTATTAATGATCTACCATCATATCAATTTGTGATAAAACTCTGATATTATTTGCATCAATATTATTTGTGTCCGATTTTTTGGGCTTAAGTATGAATTATCATTTATCATTATAACCAATATCATTATTTTCACCATTCATTTTGTTAATTCATACATACAAAACAGTACGTGAATCTAACTAACATCATTTTTCATACTTTTTATTAATCCATTTATAAATAATCATCCCATATATATATATATATATCTCATGCATAGTTTGCCTAGTAAATGCGTGAACTGAGTTATTAGGATTGTTTATGATGTACATAATTCAACAGTTGACCATTAGTGTTGTATCTAACCTTGTGTGAACGAACAGAAAGTAGAAGATGAAAGACGAAGATAGTTCTGTCAAAAGGTCCAACAACATTTATAGGATACTGATGGATAATTGTTGCATCGTGACAATACACTTGTATATTCAACAGTGATTATACACTAATTCTTTTTTTTTCTGTAATCCGGTAATCACTTTAGATCACCATTCCTACTCATTAGACCTATCCCCTGGTGATATTTTTGGTTCGGAAATGAAAAGTAATCATTCTCAGGCAGCACTGTTACGATGCGAAAATGATGCAACCCGAAACGACCAGGTAGCTAAAGAGCTAAAGGACTTCCATAAATGTTTTGAGACATAGAAAACGGAGACAAAGTATTTGTTTCTGTACAATTGCGGACCGTTTTGAAGGAGAATGAATATGAGTGTAGTCCAAAGTTAATAAATTTAAGTTTCTATAATCTCAGTTTGCGTGTTTATTGGACGGATTGTGTATATTACGCGTACAATTTAACTCGTTTTCATAACTGCTTATTTAATAATGTTGTCTCTATGCATTTCTTTTCATGTTTTTTATATTTTCTTCCATTCGGCCTTCACTTTTCTTGTCTTCCAACATATCATCAGTTTCATCAATGAATGAACCAACTAACAAAATTATTAATATTACTCCAAAAACCAATACATCTGTTGAGGAGACTGACGGCAGTGTTATATTCAGTCGTGTGGGATCTCAGAGAAGTAATATTATATTGGTTGATCGGCGTAGTGGTCGTCGTGAACGTTCAAGACCTGAAGCATTAGGCAAATCAGATTCATTGAATAGTTCTATTTTAGGCGATTCATCTAAAATGGGAGTGACAAATCATGATAAAGTTGATATTATGCATAAATATACCAACAGAACAATCAATACTCATGTCAGTGATTCAAGTAAAGAGTTATCAAGCCAAGGTAAACCCTATAATAATGTTGATGATGATGATGTTAATAAAAATTTCTATGAAACTGATCATAAGCCTGTTACTGTTGAAATTTCCACTTATATTCTACCTAGTCCAATACATTTTAATCGTGTTGGTTCACAACGTGGTGAATTGAAGTTACATGATCGACGTAACAGTTATAATAGTAATCGTCATCATCCTCGGCGTACTTCAGTGAAAACAACTAGTGAAGAAGAAGTGAAAGAATTAGGCAGTTCAGTTGATGTTCAAGAGTCTACTTCACTTTCATCAGTTATACTAGATGATAGGCGTGATGAAACTGAAGATTTCGTCAGTAATCGTGTAGTATTATTGACCAAGTCAGAAAATAAGATGGAAATAAGTGGGAAAAATTCACCAGATTTTCAAGAGGAAATGTCATCTTTCAATCCAATTTCAGAATTTTCGATTGATAATGATACAGTTTCTTCCTCTTCTTCTGAAATATCTTCTAATGAACAATTTAATTCATGTTTGGATAATTCAGTCATAACGAACTCTAATGTCCTATCGAATGCTTCTTTATCTCGAATACCGGAAGAGTCAGAAAATAACACGAAACTCAGTGATTCACGTGAAGCAACTGATTTTCAAGTTGCTCATAATAAAGACGCTATCCAGTTCGAAAAATCGATTGGAGAAAACCCCTATCAAAATTCGATGGATATTGGACCTTCCACTGGTGAATCAAATTTATGTTTGTTAGTTACTTAGATAATGTTAAGTCTGTTTAATTTAATATTAGGTGGTTGGAGATAATTGATAGGAAGTCATACTTGGAAGACGCTTCATACTAGTCGTCAAATGACATTCACAGTGTTGATGACATTGATGCTCCCTATAGTATTCGGACTTACATCGCTGAGTGCCAACTTTTCTGATGTCGCTTGACTTTGGTTAAAATCCCATGGACAAATCAGCTCCTTCTGGATTTCAGACGTGCTTTGTTAAAGAGTTGCAACTATTATTAAGCATTAGTTAATCACGAGTTCGTGATTATTGGGATTTGACAGCAAGATATAATGTATGAGATGTCTAATCATGTAGATTGGTGACTATATTTCAATTTGGTCGGTAGAGTTCAGTGAAAACATTGGAGGAGTAAACAACCATTGTGTTGATTACTAAATAATGAGTAAATAATATAGTTTAGAATCAACTGTAAGAAGTATTATGAATATGAATACATAAGCTTAAAATTCGAGGAAAAATTATCAGATTTGTTTAATCATTAGGGACTTTTGAAATTTGTTCGGTTTGAATTTAGCTTTCAACCTGAACTGAAACTGACTGTAGAATCATTCAAATTCACAAATGAATCTGTTGTTTTCTACTATTCAACTCTCCATACGGTATTTCGATCCCACAATTCAGATAAGAAGATTAAATAAGTAAGAGGATTTAGTTGTTAAAATAAATTATGATGTGCACAAACTGTGGTGATACACGTACATGTCTTTACTGCTTATTCAATGACATGTAAGCTGAGAACATGACTAGGTGTATAATCGACTTATCTCGGTAGCGTTCCTCATTTATAACTTCTAACCTACAGTTTTTGAGTTTGTGATGTCGCTTGGGCTCAGGCATGAAATATTATTAGATTCACTTAACCTGTCAGAATTTGAAAATATGGTACAGCAACTATTCAGTGCTCCATGACTTTTTAATAGTTACTCTAATTGGCAAAAACTGCCTTCCAGTAAAATTAAAATTTAAAAAAATAATGATTTAACCCTTTTACCAAGTACATATTTGTGTAATGAGCTTCAAGTTACACAATTAAACTGTGTTATTATTCACGCTACTAATCGATTGACCAAATTAAAGTAGATGAAGTAAGTTTTGGAACCTTCAATTTAATAGTTTGTCATAAAGTCAATCTCTAAATTGTATATAGTTGATTTTTAAGCTTAATTTCAGAGAGAGAAAAAAAACATACACTTTGTAGTCATGGGATTATAAATATTTTTGACTACCGTCTTTGTGAGTCGGTTGTTTATGTATGATCTCTATCGTGATTGGTTAGGATTTTAATGAATTATGTCAACCTTCAGTTTTTTTTTGTTTTTGTTTGTAACTATCAAAGCGGTCAATTGTCTCAGAAACAATAAGCAACTAATTAATGATCAAATTTTTGTCTGTATGCCTTATATATATAAACAGCTTGTTGTTGTTTTTTGTTTCCAAGACATTTTTGTTTAATTATTTAAATCTATCAGTGTAGGAGGGGATTATATAGATTGTTAAGTTTTAATTTAACCAAAACTATTCTTAAGTAAAATTTTGCCTTTAAATTAGATATAAATCAGGTTTCTTAAATGATTATAATGAATAAGCGTAAGAATGGGTTTTTTGTGGGTATTTTAGTAATTTTAATAGTTGAGATCATGAGTCAATTGAAGCTAGACCACAATAAAAAACCTGGAAGCACTGGACGGTCGTTTTGTTGTATCGTGGGACTCCTCAACCGTGCACATCCACGATACCACCTCACGAGACTCGAACCCAGGAAATATCAGCCGCGCGTAAACGCCTAACCCCCAGACCACTGAGCCAATGGTGTTACCATAATATTCACAAAACCCATCTGATATTAATCAACATATGCTCACTAGTGACTGGCTTCAAGAGGTATTTCCTGGAGTTCTAGTGAGAAGCCGTGACCAGTCGAGTTGAACCGGGTTTGTTGTGAGATAGTAACTCACTGAAAATAATGATGGAAGTGTCGCTCGATTTCGTGGAATAGTTGAAGTTACACATTAACACCGTTGGATGCCGGTCAGTTCAATGGCCTAATGGTTAACCGCTCTCGCGCGAGACTGACAGGTCTTGGGTTCAAATCTCGTGAGGCGGGATCGTTGATACGCACTGTTGAGGTGTCCCACAATAGAACAAAACGACTTTCTCGTGCTTACAGGTTCTCCATGGTGGTCTAGCTTCAATTGACTCATGATCCCAACTATTGTAATTACTATAATGAATTAGATTTAATATTATTTATTATTATTATTATTATCATTTTAGTTGGCATCATTGATATTTTCTTGTTGAATCAAATTTATATCGGTTGCATTTTATCATTATACTATAAATCTGATATGAATTCTACAAGTTACATTAACATTTAATTCTATTTCTCATGTTTCGTGTTATTAACCTGTATTTTGCATGCAAACTTCCAAGTATTTGTTGTTATCCACTATAGATAATAAGATTTAAGATTTGTAAGTTATTTATATGATTGATCTTTAGTGAAGGAGAAGATTAATTAGCCACAAAAAAAACAACTGATTTTCAACCAATGACAGAGTCCAAAGTTCAAGTCTTTCTCCACATATTTTATCATCTCACAGTACATGGTTTAAAGTCATTTATGTGTAAATTTGTGCCTAATAAGTGGGTTACATTGTCATTTGTCATTAATCATTATTGTTGATAACAATGACTTAAATTCGCAATGTATAGTTTAACCTTGTTACTGTCTATAAGAATCAGTAATTTTAAGACTTCATCTGATCATAACAAATAGATTCATTAAAAGTGTTGACTATTTCATCTATTTTTTTGGAGTTTTATTAATATTGGTAGAATAGTGGCTGAAAAATAGCTCTCAGATAAAACGAAACTCCTACAGCTTTTGCCCACTGATATATCATCTATAAGTTTTCATTTGTGCAATTGATTTTGAACTGAATTTTTTTCGATTATAGTTAATGTTATTACAAAGTATCCAAAACCTGAGTGGATTCATATTCTAGCCTACAATTAAACAGTCGAAAGTCGAGCATTTTTCACCATTAAGCTCTTATTCCTTATTTTACAGTTAATTTAGTCAAACTAATTCTTGTCAAATCCTTTCTCCATTGATCGTACTTAACAATTGATCTCTTCTTAACGTACAGTTTATTTCCATTATTTATAAAATTAAATAACCCTTAACCGAAATCTCATGCTTAATTCAATCATTATCAGATTTAAAAAGTATATATATCTATATACTCATTCATCAGTTTATCAGTTGATTATATATTCTCAGTTTGATATCAATCTACTTGTCTTTCATTTAGTACAATAGAGAATATGCATGTAGATTTAATAATTTGTAATGCAATAGCAATATTCCTAAAAAAGAAAGAAAAGAAGAACCACTGTATAAAATCTTATTACTACACTTACTGTATTCATTCGCAATTCATTTTGTAACTGTTACTACTACTACTACTACTACTACTACTACTACTACTACTACCACTACTACTACTACTACCACTACTACTACTACTACTACTACTACTACTACTACTACTACTACTACTACTACTACTACTACTACTACTACTACTACTACTGCTACTACTACTACTACTCATAATAATAATATAATAGTAGTAGTAACAATAATCCTGACCTAAATTGCACAAATATTAACCATATTATTTTATTGTTTTGAATAGGAATTAGTATAATGATATTATTTAAAGAGAAAGAGAGCATACAAGAGTTTTGCATTGTTTCATTAACACTTCCTTAATACTATTTATACAGTTACATACTTTTGTATTGTATTATCCTTATTTTGGTTTTTTCTTTTTTGATGAATATTTTGTCATACTGTGTTAGTAGTTATAATTCAGGGTATATAAGAAATATATAAAGAATAGATATATTCTAAGTGAAATGTTTAATGAGAGTGAGTTCAAGAGGTTTAATGAGTGTTTCTTTTTAAAAGTAGTATAGAAAAAAATCGGTTTCATTAGTTCTATTTTATGTGAATAAATGGTATCTTTAGTATGATGCCATCTTATTATCTAAATATCTTTGTATTGATTTTTAAAAAAAAAATTGTGACGATTTGTAAAGATTCTGTTTGACACAAAGATATAACCGCTTCAATCATTAAGTGAAATTGATGAGAAGAAAGTTTTGAATAATATTGTAAGTGTAGATATGGAAGAAGGTAAACAATGAATGGAATTACTCCACTTACATTGTATAATCAATTGATCTTCTATCCCTACTTAGTATTATACTCACCATTGCTTACCATGTGGATCAATGATACCCATGTAGTACTCAAATATTAGTAGCCTAATTATGTGCTATACTTTTTGGGATCCTGGTTCACACTTATGAAGAGATAAGGAGCAAGGCATAGCTTGCTATTGAAAAGTAGACAAATTTATCACAGATTTTCAAAAACAAAATTTACGGCATATTTGATGAAACTTGTTAATGTGACCAAGTGAGTAAATAAGAAAGATTTCACTTTTGATAATCAATGATGGTCTCCAATATTACGGTTGGACAGAACTTATCCGTGCGAATCATGAAGATCTGACTTAATGGTCTGAAGTTGTCATATTTGTCACAATAGTTAAGTGTCCTAGTTTTCATCTGTGATCTAATCAAGACTGTTACCACAACGTAGCCCAAAAAAACTGTCTAGAACTCCTTAGTTCTCATTAGTTTTTTCTCTGATACCAGTCTGTAGTGATAAATAACTTAAAATCTTCAAATCGTCAATCAATTTTAAGATTACTAAATTTATTTGTAACTGCTGACGTTGGAAATTTATTTTATTTGAACACAAAGGAGCACTGAATACATATGCGCCATACAAGCCACTTGATTTGTGTATGGGGTGTGATACTGCCCGGGTGCCCAAACCGAAACAGCTTG